CCAGTCTAGTAGCTTGGCAACTTTGCTTTCTTCAGCGTGTCTGCCAGAGAAGTCGCAGACCCACCCAACGACCTCAATGCCTGACATAGCAAATTGTGACTTTTCGGCTGAAATAGCAGCTCCGGCAAGCTCTAGGAGATATAGCGTTTTGTCCAAATTTTGAAGGTGCTCCAGGACGTACTTGCGGATTCCTGGCCTGGCAAATTCACCGTCGTACTTTGTTCGTGGGCCATTGATAGCAACATCATCAAGAAATGGTTTAGCAACTATGCCAAAGATAGATTGAAGGATCCATGATATCACACGTTGAAACTGCGCAACAGAATTTGCGCCTCCTTGTAGAATTGTAGTTTGCCGCAAGAGGCCAATCGGGGTTTGAATGGCAGTGAGATCTCTATCTTCCTCAGCTAGCGTGATTTGGTCATACCCTGAGTATAGGTCAACAAGTGAAGAGAGCGCCATGCCGGCAAATTCCTCGGCAAATTCATCAACGTCCGGAGGCATGTTTGCATCTCTTCTGGTGACCTTGTTGATGAGCATTGCTGCATTGATCAGTCGGTATTTGCCGATACCTTTCTTCTTGACCAAGAACCAGGGGTTTCTGTATGGTCCGTCGCAGTGTTCGAGGACTCCCTTCTTTAGCCTCTCGCGTAACATCTCAATGATAACAGGGCCTAGGGCGCGGGGAATCTTGAACCCAGGATGTTGCCATGCTTCATGGGGAACGGTCTTGATACGCTGAGCAGGCATGACCTCTGGTCGAATCCGGCTCATATGGTCCCAGCTCCAAGCCAGCACTCCCTCCCTCTTAAACAGTAGTTCGCGTAGCAGCAGCTTCTCTCGCGGCAATAATCCGTTTCCCACAAGCATGGTTGCTTCTCTCTCAGGGGTCAGTCGGGCACCTCTCGCAATCGTAGCAATTCGCGGATGCAGTAGGTCATCGAACTCGGATTGGATGTCAGTTGCGCGGTACCGGGTGTGGTATTTCTCCAGGCAAATCCTCTGCCAGTCAGGGTTCCCGGCAGGAATAGAGCCATCGGACTCTGACGAGCTCACAGGTTGAACCTTATCTGCCTTTCGTTTGTATAGCGTGTTCACAGGTGCAGCGTGTAGCGCGCGTAGATCTGGTCTGAAGGTTGCCCAGCGCGATCCTTGTCGCGGCAGTAATCTTCTTCGCCACTTATTTGGCAGTCCATGGCGCGTCTCAGTCCTTGCAAATGACGTCCTATATTCAATGTCGGGGTAGGTAGGTGAGGCATGGCCGGCGTAATGTTTATGGTTCGGGGTAGGAACCCAGTTAGGTGCCTCAGGTTTTTGGGGAGACGGTTTTTCGGCCGAAATACCACCCCTCTCTAAACTAACGTCGCTCTCAGCTCGTCCGCTCTGGACAACTTCTTCTTGACAACCACCAGCGACGTCTCTCTTCTTCTTATCCACCATCCTGAGCAGCTTCTCGCCTGCTGCTACTGACAGTGCAGAAAATGAGCTCTGTCTGGCATCCGGGTCTTTGGCAGATGCTGCGATGCCACTTAGACATCTGCCTGAGCATTTAAAGCATCACTCTTCGCTTCACCCGGCCATAGCTGATCCTCATAAAAGGAGCCTCCCCCTCGTGGATGGTACGCCAGGAAAGAATAGCTTGTCCGTCGGTCTGGACTAGAGATAGTACAGATGACGCTGCCGTCTCCTTTCTCGGACGTCTGCAGTAGAGAGTCCTTCGCCCAAATCCTCCCTAGCAGCAAATCATTCGTGCATCCATCACCAACCATGGTATGCGTCCTTGTCGTGATTCCTCCGATGCTGATTGGCAGGTTCTCCACACATGCGCCTACCGCATACTCTCCTCCATCAACAGGCACTAGCTTCAATCTTGGCCTCAGGCGCATCTTTGCCTGCACGGACTGCGCGATCTCTCGTCGAACAATGTTAACAGATGACCCGGTATCGATACATGCTCGCACCTCTCTTTTGCCGATCACTACCGTGGCGAATAACAAGTCTCTGGAGTATTCTCGGGACACGGGCCCGGCTGCCGAGTCCGATAGCTGCACTTCCTGGAAGTTAACGTGAGAAGCCAGGGTGCTGGATTGCAGTGGGCTCCCAGTGACTGCGTGATAGTCTGCTACATCGCTAGCAAGCTGATTGATCTGTTTCTCGACTTTTGCCGGCATAGATGCCCCTGTAAAGTTGGACTGCGTGTGCGCTTGCGAGAGAACGTCTGTGATCCGCTGATTGATAACATCCATGCTAACTCCTTTCCCCATGCCAATCCTGATCTTAGGGGCAGAGCCAGCAAGTTCTCCAATGGTGAGGGTGACTTCCGTGTTCCATATCTTTTGCATGACGATGTCGGATAATTGTGACTTTCTTCTTGCAACTTCAGGGTCCACGGGCCCCCTTCTTCTAACAACTTGTTCCTGAGATATATCTTCCTGTCTCTGGGTTTGGGAATCCTCAGGCTGAGCATCTTGCATAACATCATCTTCAACTTGTGGCTGATACCTTCCAGCGTGAATACTGCGAGTCCTTGCGATATCAGGTTCACGTCTCCGCTTCGCGGCGCGTCCTTCAATCGCGTTCACACTTCCTATTGGTCCAGCTAGATCCTCATCGTCCTCGTCGAGAATTTCCCACACAGGCGCCGAACCTAAGAGGGTAGCCGCAACAGATTGAACCGGCGCTGAATATGACATAGGGATAGCACTATTCGAAGCTATAGCAGTGACCCTGCTAGAAGGTGCCGTTGCCGTGGTATACCCCTTCCACTGGTCATACTGTTCTTGGAAATACTCACGATTCAACCTTCCAGGCGTAACACGTAGGCGCGGCCCTGGTTGGTCCGCAGTCCCTAGTATCATTTGATTCATCTGGTCATAATGCATGATGCCACGTCCTTGCATATCACGGAGTGCCTCGCATTTATCTGGTCTCGAAAGATGAGCTCCTCCGCACGTCCAACAGCTTATTGGCGGGTTCACTCCAAGGTTGTTTGTCGGCGTACGTCTATCAGGCTCATACCGGTAATCATTTCGTAGGTCTTGGCTAGCCTGCAGTTTCAGAGTGAGAGCTTCCATTTGCGACCGTATATCGCGGATTTCTTTGCTCTGATCATGGTGAATTCGACCCTGTGTACTCTCAGCTGTGACACGATGCTGGTGTCCATCTAACCGTTCTTTGCCTTCTCGACCACCTCCTTGGCCTAGGTATCTCTGGAGATCTTCTTCCTCACGGACACAGAGCCTGATCGAACCCCAGGCTTCGGAATACTTGATCAGCGTTCCTCTCGGTAGTAGTCGCCGTGAGTGGCGTCGTACTACCTTCTCTTTCAGTACCTGGGGCAGTCCCTGGATCAACAAGTTCGCTCGTTCGCTGTCGCTAATCTCTCCATTCTGGAGAACGCGGTCCGAGACTTCGTCAAACTCTCTCAAGTACGACTGAATGTCGTCCTTCATTGTCCGAGTTTGTTGGGCCAGAGATTGGAGATACGTCTTCGTGTATCGAAGGCGTTCATCATCGGTCTCATAGAATCGCTCTAAGAACTCTTCTCTAAATCCTTCCCAATCCTTTGCGACCCACAGACTTTGTCTCTTAACCCATAGCTTTGTGATGCGGTCACAGTACTGTGGCAAGATCTCTAGCATCTCAGTCTCTGAGCGCAGCCCACAGCGACGACATGTCTCCTGTAACTTCTCCAGGAACAGGGTAGCGTCAGACCCGTCAAAGTACGGCGCTCCCAGAGTTCCTGGAGTAGGCAGAGGGGAGAAATATGGCATCTGCTGTTGCTGGATAGACGCGAGTTGCGCAACTGGCGCAACGGCTATACCTGACTGAACTGGCGCTGTCGGCTCAGGGTGCAGAGCGCTACGCCTGCCTGTCGTTCTAACTGACTCCGATCTCTCCCTAGCAGGCTCCCTATACTCAGAGAACGATGCTAGTCCTTCATTTTGGCTCCTTCCGCGGTCACGCTCCTCGGCGAAGTCCATTGTTGGTGAAAGCGGAGACTGTTTTTCGGCTGAAATCAATGCTAGCGGGGGTTGTCGATAGAGCTGGTCAAGGGCTTCCTTTTCACTTCCTCTTCTTGAGCATTCTTCCTTCCTTTCTTTTAACTTATAACTCAGGATAGCGTGAGTCAGCATTTGCTGCATGGTCATACGCCATAGCCAGCTAATGCCTGGAAATCTCTTCTCTGCCATCGTACGCAGCGCTGCCGGTCTCGCCTGTAGCAACATCAGCAGCGAATCCGCACTGCCAATGCACGAGCTGGATAACAGATCGCGATATAACTGGGTGAGTTCCCGTGTTTCCTGCATGTTAGCAAGCCCAACTCAGGCTACCTTTGCCAACAACTCAGCTGATAACACAAGGAACAGATGTGACCTGTCTCTCTTCCACGCTTGCTTCTCAGGGTCAAATGCTATCGCCACTTTCCTGCTGCTGTAGGCTCTGCCAGTTGTCAGACACCTTACGATCGTGAGCCTTCCCGGGGACGCCAATTTGAAATGGGAGATGCTCGATGGCAGTCTGGTCAAAACAGACGGGTCGACAAATGGTGGCAAGAAAACCGAACAACAAGTCAGGTCTGTGAGCTCTAGACAGATGATGCCTATCAGGGATAATCAGATGCTATATCAAGGAGCATAATGATCATAAATCTTGAATCAGGAAATGAGTGGCATTGTTGTAACTGTCTATCCTTCTCTACAGTCGTAGGTTGCCCATAACCCGTCCTCGAGGATATCACTGCCTGAGGCAGTAATCATACAAGTGTCGTGATTTCCCCACTACAGTAAGTAGTATATCCACCCCACGAACTGGCTTCTCATTCAAGTATGATACCCCGGATGTCACCACACCTTTACGTGTCTATCATCAGAGGCTGGGGATACTGTCTGAGAATAGCGTTGAACGTAGAGGTCGTAAGTTTGATATTTATTCTAGCCGTGACGGTAAAATGCATTACCGTAATGAAGCAGGGGGAAAAGCTCAGAATGGAAAGACGACTATGCCTTCCGAGCATCACTCTCATCAACATTAAACTCCTCCCAACCAACACTATCACTGCCATTAGGACGGCTAGATCGCACAAACTGATTGTCCACACCTCTAATAACAGCAACAGGCTTCACAACCTCAACATCAGCACCATAAGCAGCAGAAGACCACAACTCAGTGAGAGGCTTGCGACCCTCCGACTCCGGTCCAGCAGGCAGATACAGCCAAGGGAAACGCTCATGCATGCTTTTCAACACAGTCGACGAGATACGGTCAACGCTATCACAGTGGCGCAACTTGAAGAAATCAGCAGACTGCACTGAGCGCAACTGTTCTTGCACGTCTTCGGGATACTGGCCCATGGCGAAGAGGAGAAGGTCGTAGTGCATCAAGGAGGCCTTTCCGTGGTATGAACCTCCAGTCTTGGCGCGGTGGTAAAGTCCCGTTAGGGCGGCGATGGCGCCCATACATCCAGTGCCGTAGTCAGAGATTGGGAAGGGGGGTACGACGGGGGTGGAGAGACCCATGAACTTGCCCTGTGCCCATGCGATACCGGTGACCTGTAAAGTTGCGTTAGACTGTTGTGTTTGGTACTGCGAGGAGGAATTGATTATGGTCACTTACACAGTCGGCAATCTGCTGCCATCCAGCACGGTTTGCCCACTCGCCTTCGTATCCAAAGCAGTTCTCGTTCACGTAGACGATGCCCTTGCCGCGTTTCTCAGCCAAAGCTGCCATCGCTTCGGCACCGTATCCGAGCTTATCTAGAGCTCCGGGACGGTAACCATCTACGATGACGTCGACATCGTCTAAGAGTTTCTCAAACTCCTTGCGTCCGGCCTCGGTTTTCAGGTCAAGGTCTGCCGCATGCTTGCCCATGTTGCCGTCAACCTGGAAGAAAGGTACATCTGACAGACTAGGGCTAGTAATCTTCAAGACATCCGCACCGTATTCAGCAAGGATGCGGGTGACAGTGGGGCCTGCGATAATACGGCACATTTCCAGCACTTTGACGCCCTTGAGGATCTTCTTGTTCTCGCTGGAGGCAGCTGGGAATGGAGTCGGAGGCAGGTTGCCGGGAAGACGGCTGACCTTCCAGGCGGGCTCTTGCACATTGAGTTTTCCCTGTATGATCGTTAATGCGTTGAAAACGGATTTCATATGAAGTCTGGCTTACATGGGGTGTCTTAATGAAGTCTTCGTGTTTGTAGGCAGTTACACCAGCCTGGCGTCTCTCCTTGTTCATCACCTCAAGCTCAGAGGCAGTGTATTTCGTAACCTTCTCCTCAATGACCTTGATGATCTCTTCATAATCCGTCAAATCTGGGCGCTCACCCTCGAGTCCAATCATGTTCAAAGTGGTCGTAGCCTCCAGTGATCCATGAATATGGAAGAACTCATCTGGGTTCTTGGTCTTGTAGAGATTTGCTGACATGCGGCGGTAGCCATTAGACTGCGCAGAGAGCAAATCGGTGTCTACATTTCAGTCAATACAGTCCTTTTCGGAAGAATAATGTCTGATACGCACTCTTGAGCTTCGACTTCACATTGGGGTCCAATTTGGACAGACCAGCCACTTTGGCCATGTACGCTTGGCAGCCAAAGGCAGTTGCACCTTCAAGGCTGACCTGAACCCCGCGAGGTGACGATCCAGCACCGAAGCGAAGATCCGCAATGGCAGCTGCCACTGAACCTTCGATACCCTTCAGCGCGGCAAGCGTCTCGGTTTCTTTGAATGGAATTGGGAAGTAGATTTCATTATGGCTGGTAGAGAAAGAGACGCGATCCTTGTTCGCGAGCACTTCTGGAGGCAAGTCGAAGCGCTCGCCTTGGTCACAAAGATCGGAGAAGATGCGACTGGTCTCAAGGACCGGGGAATACCTGGTGCCCGCCATGATTCTGATGCTGATATGTATGAGGTATGATTTTGTAGCCGAGGTTGGTGATCAACGTGCTCAGAGGATGTCAGTTAGTAGAAGCAAACGGAAGGAGGAAGTTATGCTGAAGTGTATTTTATATATGACGATGTTCGGGTCTCCGGGGACCTGGCCGTCGGGTCGCCACACCCGCCTGTCGGCTCAACTATGGCGGAAATGCGTTTGATATCTTCATTTTGATACGTATAAATTTGACCTAGGACACAACGCCTGAGAATTTTATTTTAATGCACTGTAAGTACACGGTGGTGAGAATATTCACAACAGCAATCAGTTCATTCTCAATTTTGCAACATACACTTCTCCACGCAGATCCGACGACGCTCGGCTCGGAGCATATTTTCGGATGCTGAGATCCGATGGATCACGTGGAATACTTCGCCTGGGATATGTTGAGCTTTCATGAGATTCGGCGTTCTGTTCTGTTACAAAGGTACAGATCTAAGTAGTCTGATAATCCAAGAATAGGGAATCAATTGATATCTTCAAGGTCATACTGGCTCTGGTAGTAGTAGACCAGGTCACATGACTAAGTATAGATCGTAGCTGGTTGTACATTCAGCTCTCTCAAGCTTATGGTGACATCTATGTTCTTGCAAACAATTCTATCCAGGTATTCTCTGCTTTCAACCCTATGTGTACTCCATGGATATCTTTCAACGTCAGCACTGTACAGGAGTAGAGCTGAAGTGATCACGTGCCTGTCCAACGTTATCGCCGTAACTCCGAGTCATCTCTGATTGTTCGTCCGACGATGGTGCTACGAACAACACTGCGGCCAAGGGTGCTGCGCCTAGCAGCTTTTCGCCCAATTCGATTTTCATCTGCGAACCCAGTCATTCGCATTGACAATGGTACCTTCTACAAGCGGTACCCGACCGATGTCGAAGACCCGTCGTCTAATCCTCCTCTCTTCCCCAACTTGAACTTCACATTGCCCTCCGAACGCACATCTAAAGAAGATGGCGAAAGCCTACAGCACTGGGCTGTAATTGGACCCTCCGAGAAGACCGACTTCCTGCACATCCTCCGTGGTCAGCACATCTGTCTCCCGGCCAATGCGCGCTCAAATCCATACCTTTTGCTAGGCAAGGTCGCCGCCAAAGACTCACGCCTTCGATCCGTTTCGAATGCGATCCGATACATTGGTTTCAACGCGGAAGGCGAAGAATCCCTTGGCGGCAGCCGTGGTGCATACCTCAGTGCTCGCTATGAGAGCTACCGGGAGGACACCGATTGGACTGTTGATCAGTACCTACGGGGAGAGACCTCTTCAAACCCCATGGAGGGTGAGAGTGCTGGCCTGATTCCCTCGGAAGATATCTACAAGAGGGTCTGCTCCCGCCTACATCTCAGCCAATTGATGGACATGCCAGTCGCGAATTTGAGCAATGGCCAAACCCGTCGAGCACGAATTGCCAAAGCGTTGCTGAGAAGACCCGAGGTGCTGCTCCTTGACGAGCCATTTAGTGAGTACCTATAATTAATCTTCATTTCTCGGGTATTCTAACACGAAACAGTGGGATTGGATCCTGCAACGGCTAGGAGTCTTTCGGTTCTGCTTCATAGCCTGGCAGACAAATCGTCGCCACGCCTGATATTGGCTCTACGCCCACAAGACAAGATTCCCGACTGGATTACGCATACGGTGATCCTAGGAAATCACCACCAAGCCCTCTTGCAAGGTCCAAAGTCGGAGGTTGATAAAACCCTTCATGTTTGGAGTCACTTTTCAGAGTCCCATGCGCCTATGAAGTTCACCCACGACCAAAATGTTGCTTTTCAAAAAATGAAAACCGACATGGAAAGTGGTGTCTTGGATACAGATCTCCTTCAAAGCTTGACAGGTGGAACAAAACATCCTTACGGACGGGAGACTGCGACTTATCTCGGCGGAGAACCCATCATAGAGATGGATGGTGTCCGTGTCCAGTATGGTGATAAATCAGTACTTGGTAATTGGTCGCAAGAAGTGAACAACAAAACAGTCAACGGCTTGCACTGGCGAGTGCGTCGGGGACAACACTGGGCCATTCTCGGTGCCAACGGATCCGGAAAGACAACATTGGTCTCAATGATTACCTCTGATCATCCGCAGACTTATTCGCAGCCTGTGAAGCTCTTCGGGCGATCTAGGCTTCCAGAGGCTGGCAAGCCTGGAATTTCAATCTTTGAATTGCAGTCGCGCATTGGTCACTCATCCCCAGAAATTCATGCCCTTTTCCCTCGGCAATTGACAGTCCGCGAAGCGGTGGAATCAGCTTTCGCTGAAACCTTCCTCTCAAAACCGAAGCTGAACACAGAAATCGACCTAGATGTTAACGCAGTCCTGAAACACTTCCAAGCTGAGCTTGACCCTGCTGCTGCCAAAAGTGAGATCCCAGATGTCAGCACCGTGATGTTTCCCAGCATCCCAAAACCTTCTAAGCAGGGGTTGAAGAAAGCAAAGTATGTCCCACCTGAATATCATTGCGACTATGCAGATGACATTCGGTTTGGTGAACTCACCACTGCACAACAACGTATCGTGCTCTTCATCCGAGCCGTTGTCCACAGACCCGACATTGTCATTCTCGACGAAGCCTTTTCAGGCCTGTCGTCTACCCAGCGTGACAAGTGCATCGGCTTCCTTGACTATGGCGAGAGACCTCGCCTGGCCCGTCAAGCAGTCCAACGGAACCCAAAGCCAATCTACCGTTTCAACGGTCTCACGCAAGAGCAATCCTTGCTCGTGATCAGCCATGTGCCTGAAGAGATCCCCGATAGTGTTCGCCATTTCTTGCGGTTGCCATCTGATCCTGGTGCGGGTCAACCTCCCCTTGATTTCCGCTTCGGCATGCTCAGTGCCAACAGTATGCTGAGGAAACCATCCGTATGGGACACTGTTTGGTCTGGCGGAATGGACTTCAAGGATGCGAGTCGTCGTGTCGCCCGCCGCACCACTGACGATCCCGCGGCACAGGATTTGGTTGAATATGAATACTTTTCGGTCTAGAAGGGCATTTGGATACGGTCTGGTACTCTAGATGGCTATGCTATAGATTTCTTGTACATCTAATCAACATATCTAAATTTGGATCAGGTTCCATATCTCATCTACCCCGTCTGCAATTGCCAAGGCTTCGATTGCACTAAAATCCCCGTTCCAGATAAGCAGATTTTGAACTGATACGCGTATGCACAGACCACCCGTATCCGTACCCATTGGATATACGCGTATCCAGTATAAACTATTAAAAGTCCGAAGCTACTGCGCCTTCGGAGTTTTACCAAGGTACAGTGCTGCTAAATTGTAGGTGCCTGGAAGCCTGTCTTTATTTATAAGTATGGACCCTCGAAGTTCTTGATTCTAAATTCAACTTCACTTCAACCCATCCATTGGCAAACGACCAACTGCATATCAAGTCTACTACCTTCTTTGCCTAAGGTTATTCAGTACTCTCAGTCTTCGATCCTTCAATCCTTCGATCTTTTCATCCTCACATCCTCACATCTTTCCACCCTCACATTTTTCCATCCTCCCATCTAAAAATGGCCAAGCTGGAGCCGTTGAGAAGCGGATACTATGTCTGGCACTATGTCCCCTCGATAGCAGCCTCCGTGATCTTCCTGATCCTCTTCCTCGGCATCACAGCAGTCCATTTCTGGAAGCTGTTCAAAACCAAAGTCCGCTTCACGATTCCATTCGCAATTGGCGGTCTATGTGAGTTCCCTCCCCATCCCATCCTATCCCACCTTATACTAACCCACTGCCACAGTCGAATTCATCGGCTACGCCGCCCGGGCAGCCTGCACCAACAAAACAGGCAAACTAATGCCCTACATCATCCAAAGCATCTTCGTCCTCCTGGCGCCAACCCTCTTCGCCGCCGCAGTCTACATGGTCCTAGCGCGTATCATCTACAGCGTGAACGGCCAAAAGCACTCCCCAATCCGGATCACGCTCGTGACCAAGATCTTCGTCACCTGCGACATAGTCACATTCTTCATCCAGGGCGGTGGCGGCGGCATGATGGCTCAGAGTGGCTTGGCCAAAATGGGCCAGTGGATCATTCTGGCGGGATTGGTCCTGCAGATTGCGACTTTTGTGCTGTTCCTGGTTACTGCTATCGTGTTTGAGAGGCGCATCACTCGGAGTCCGACGCCTGCTGTTGTGCAGGGTCATGTTCCTTGGAAGAAACATTTGTACAGTCTCTATGCCGTCAGTGCTATGATTCTGGTTCGCTCGGTTTTCAGGGTCATTGAGTATGGACTTGGCAATGATGGCTATTTGCTTGGGCATGAGTGGCCGACTTATATCCTAGATGCTGTGCCCATGTTCATTGCTATGGTTTGTTTTGCGGTTTGGTACCCCAGTGAGTTGCAGCCGTTTTTGGTCAGGGGCGATGTGGAGGAGGTTACCTCTGATTCGGTGCCCCTGAAAGCTTGATTTGGTGGTTGTTTGGCGTTCGTGGGTTTTATTCTTATCTTTTCTGATTTCTCTTTGCGTCCTGGCTTAATTCACTGGTGCAACCAATGGCGTTCGTGTTTTAACTTACATCATGTTTAGACTTCTGCTGAACGGGAGTTGGATACATTTGTTTTCTTTTCAAATTCATGAACTTATGAAAGTCTTTTCTATCTCAATCGTCTACTTCACTTTCCACAAGAAATCGTGCCACAGAAGGCAATCATGATATTGATGGAACGGTCAATAATTGGTCGGAACTACTGTCGCTCTTGGGCTCATCTTCTCTTCCATCCTGCCACGTCGAACAGTGCCGGCAGCGAATTGCCTGATGACATATCAATCATAGAATTGCAGGGTGTACAAATTAAGAAACTTACCTGCTCACTGATGTATTGCTTGCAGTACGGACACCGAACGGTCGGTTTAATGATCTTGTTGTGAAAGATGAACATGTATATATGTCCCACTGCATACAGCGTCAAACTGACACCTAGGAAATTGAGAAGTGTCTCGATGAACACTCTACATTAGAATGTTAGAGTTAAATGGTAAGATTGTCCCTGGTTCAAGGTGCCATACCCATAGGCAAGAACTAGCGCCCCATCCTCTCTCGCCTGGCGGAGGGTATTGTACCCTATCTCATGGCTGAAATTAGGACCTTTGGAAAGCACCGCGAATTTCTGGTCCATATTTCTGTTCAGAAATGGAAGAAGAGAGACGATCGGTAAAACCATATCGGATACAAACGACGTCACCACTTTGGTGAATGCATTTGCGATGCTGTGGGTAACAGCTGCATGTTAGCAAGACCTTCTAGACCATCATTTTGAATCAGTTGGTTTATCGAGTACGTTAACTCACATCAAACCCAACGCGACCTCCAAGACGTTATCCCGCGCGGCAAAGTTAACAAAGCCATCCCAGGCATGTTTCACTTGCTCCTGGGCTTTCTGGCCAGTGCGCACGAGGACTTCGGTGCTTTCATCTAGACCGCGCATTCTGAGAGAGTCGGAAATGGGAGAAGAAATAAATATGGAGGGAAGAAAGTCTTAAAAGAAGCTCCAAATCCATCGTCAATGCACATCCCCGTCATGTGGTGAGTTTAGGGCGCGGATTAACTATCTTGGCGCTACAAAAGGGGGAGGAGATCGCTCAGTCGGGTCCAATTGGATTTCATTTTGGTTTCAAAGTGCGTCGCCTGTGATGATCTACAGTCTCATGGAGACCCTGGTTGACTTTGTGGTGTAGGTGAGTCACATGGATCTGAGCCTGGCAGATCTGTCGGCCACGCTCTAGATCGGTGATCAGCCTGTGATATAGTGAGATCGTGAACGCAACCAATATGTTTATTGAAACAACCACTCTGGACTATTAAATATAAGTTTCAACTTATCACTAGTTCAAAAGTTGGTTCAACCTATCTATCAGTGAAGAATTAAACACCAAAGTCCTCCTCAAATTCCACAATCATCACCTCCAACTCCGCAGCTATAATTAAGTCGAAAGAATAATCCCGTCGAAGTTTCTCTGCAATCTGACCCATTCGGTACTCAAGAATAGAGCAGTAAATCTCGATCTCCGAATCCTCAACAGCGCCAACGAACCATCCAGACGATGCCCGTCGAACATATTCGCAGTCCTGGTCCTCTTCAATCATAGCCATCGTAGCTTCCAAAACCCGACCTACCTGGAAGGAGGGTGCCGCCAGTCGTCTGCAAACGCCTTCGATGCGATCAACTCCTAGCTGTTTGGGGTCATATCTCAAGATGCGCGTCAAGAAGGTCAGCTCTTGTTTGAAAAGCTTACACTCGGCCTCGTAGGTCTCTTTCCAGGTCATCCAGGTGATTGGTTCAATGTACGGCATGGCTAGTTTATACTTGACAGGCGAACTCTGCGGGTGAGCGGGCATTTCTTCTTGAGGTTTGGTGACGCTGCAGATGTATGTGATCATAGTAGACAGTTTTGAGGGTTCTAATTCTTTTTTTTTCCCGGATACATGAACTATCGGTATGAGGTTGGTTCGGTAGAAGAATGAGGGGTTTCTAGCAAAAGTTCACCTGGCCGGCTTCTTCGAAATATATATTTCGTCTCAAGAACCACTGTGGCTTGACTTGGGACTTTGGTTTAGGAGTTGGACAAAGAACACAATAAAGAGTGCTTATTGATCCTTTGTGCCTTTGAATAATAACACAATGTCTTTTTCTTTTAGATGGTTTCTAAAATTGCTCATGTTCGAGATATAACGTTAGATCAGCGACACGACAAAGCTGCGTCAGCTTAAGCCATCTCGACCTGCCGGCTCCAGGACTAGTGGATAAAAGGAGTATGACAAGCTTAAGATAGTGAAATGGAATATTCAAATTTGATGCAATCCTAAAGATATTTCAAAGACTGCCATTGAAGAACCAGCCAGAGCTACAGTTGTATCGACTGTGTATTTGATAAGATAGCTGATATCAACAATAGACAAAAGAAGAGAAAAAAGAACTTCCTCGCAAGCTCATGCATAACAAGAGAAAAGTATATAATACGTAAAAACCCAAACCAAAACAGCAGCAACAAACCACCCTATTTGGTATAACGAAGAACAAAGAAGAACAATAAGCTAGACAGCTTGAAATTAAATATTCGAAATCACCTAGACAGCCGATTCAGCACGAGCAGGCGCTTGCTCGTGTGAACGAGTTGGCGACTGAACAGGCGAGCCAACCGAATCACCGCTAGGACTGGGAGAAAGCTGCTTCCTGGCATCAGGACTAGGAGTCTGACGCGCCCACCCACTCTTCTCATGGCCAGTGACAGAGTCCATCATCGTAGACTGGCTAGTACTGCTCGTGTTCGAGGCATATCGGCTAGATAGCTTGGTCCAGACCTTGGTATGGATGAGCTTGAATAAGGGTCGCATGTTGGAGAGACAGGCGGCAACGATTCCGACTGCCGGCTCAATGCATGTCCAGACGCTGGCTGGGACTTGGTCGTCTGGCTTTGGTCAGCAGGGGATCGTATGTATATATGTTGGAAGGGCAGTTGCCTACATGTGACGTCGGTGCCTTTTTTGGATAGCTGGACTAGGACGACTAGGCGGATGATGTCGAAAATCAGGGTTCTGTGTTGGTTAGGATATGTGGAACAGTAGTAGGCCAGGAAAGGGCTGGAAGACATACAAAAATCCCAGGACGAAAATACCAGACAGGCCGACCTTCTGTGCCTTGGAGATTGGAAGGTTCCATACAATGTGCATGGGCATAATCAGGATGATAGCGTCAGTGGCGATGTTGGGAATCTGAAGTCCATAGTAGAACTTGGACAGGTTCATGCAGCCACCTTGCATCATGGGATGCCAGAGCTTCTCGGTTGGGATGCAAATGAAGCATCCGGCGAGAATACCACAGGCGGCCCATAGAATAACAACCATGCCCACGATATTGACAGCGTATTTCATCGACTTGACAGGGAATAAACGTCGGTATAGCATAAGAATGGAGAGTTTGATGCATGCAATGCAGCCGGTGTAGAGGATAGAGCCTGTAAATAGGGTCTTTGGGTTGGTCAGTCCATGACTGATCTCGCTGTGAATGGGATGTTGTCGCACCTTGAGATAAGTGACAATTTGTTCGGGACTAAGATAGATAATATGTGTTCCGAGTCCATTGTAGAGCACTGAAATTCATGAGTAAATGTTCTTTTTGTTTCGTTATAGGCGTGAACTTACTCACAACGCCAGCTACGGCTAATCCATACTCGAACAGCTAAACAATGGTCAGATATCGCCATACAAGGAAAGCTAGAACAACTCACCAATGCAAAGATGATCAGCCAATCATCAGCAAAGAGACCACTTCCATTGAGGCCCCGAGAAATTATGCGGAACCCAACAGCAGTAGTGGACAAAATGAAGGCGAAACAAGTGGCAGTAATCACCACATGGCGCAAATTATCATGGTCATAGCCATGCTCTGTCTGGGCCACTGAATCTGCCATATTGTCGATACTGTCAATCTCGGTTCCCAAATTTGGAATTGAAACTGTGAAATTGTGAAACTGCTGGTAATAGCGCAAGGAAAGAATCACGATCCAATATATAACTTATGGCCAGAAAGCCCCAGGAGGCAAATGAATAAGCAAAGAGGAGATAAAAGACACGTCTTAAATGCTTGAGATAATATTGTAACGCATTCCACTTTACTTGCAACGAGATGCTGTCATGATTAGTTGCCAGGGGCCCAAACGAGGCAAGTAATAGATCTATTCCATCCTTACATCTTAGCGGACGATCAACGTCTGTGATCTCCAGCTAGTCAAACTCTTCAGCGGGATAATAAACAGAGAAATAAACCGTCAAAACTTTCGGAAATGACAATTCCGCATCTAACAGCCACTCGGATTCCACCCTCTTTGCCACAGTCGTGACACGACTCGTCTCGTCAATAACAAACTTGGAACAGGAGTTGCCTACAGTGCATGTACTAAACACATGTTGCGCCCACGCTGGATGCAAACCTTGCATAATATCATGGCGATTTTGACAGCAATCATGCGGGGAGAGCGATCAACTTTGAGGAGGGTAAAGGTTACTTCTGGACTGTCGTGCTGTAGACCCATTACCCTGGTCTTGGGTTTAGTTGTGAGATCGAAGCTGATCAGCATTGACCCGATGGTATGGTTCGTCCGATCAAGCGATCGTGCGATTGGAATCTCAATGTTTTGACTAAGCCATTGATATGATGTGTTCCAAATTAACGTTAGGAGGCAAATCTGGTAAGTTTGATGCTATGCCAAATTCTAAGGTTCAATGGCCCACTGTTGTTGCTTTATTGCGTCTTTATATCCCCGGTCCGTCGTTCTCGCTCTCGCTCCACTCAATTGCTGCGTACTGGGTGCTATTGTATGGACTACAAACTGAACAATGGCATGACGGAAAGAAACTCTCTACAGGATAGTGTTTGTCTCTCAATGCTCCTACCGTATCCCTGTCTAAACTCGTGTTCCTCGGTTAAACAAGCTCGACATCGTCCCGAAGCCTGCCAGTTTTACAGGCAAACTGATAGATCACATTTCACTAGCCTCACACAATAAATCTGCAACCCCAATAAAAAATCAAATGATCTATCAGACTACTATGACATACCGGCTTCCCGATTGATATCTAGCTCTCTTCTAAGACACAACGATGACAGAATCCTTAACTTTCAAATGCAAATACCACATTTTGACAAATCGAATTCCAGACTACGGAGCACTCCGTAGACGCTATCATATCACGATGCATGCAATATATACACAGATTCAATCGCTACTTAGGAGGAGTGCCATACATCATCGGCCCGGGCGCAGTGTAAGGCGACATCAAAGTCGCCCCGCGTTCCCTAGCAGCGCGAGCCCGCTGCCCTTCGCGCTTAAGGATCTCCTTCTCATCCTGGATCAACGTGCAACACGTACAGCAAGTGGCGCGCACACAATCAGACGCAATATCGCCCTGGATTCCATATGACTTCCGTATTCTGGTGTGTTGGACAGTCGCCATTAACCCTACGAGACATATCAGCAACACGGACGATCTCTTCCTTCCAATGGCGATAGAACTTACATTGACACCCACACAGCAATCCCATGCCGGTGCACGATCCATTGCATGTTTCATAAGCGAGCATGTTGGTCGGATCCTCCTTTCTCGATTTCATCGTCAGTCGATGCTGCGTCCGTCCGTAGAGGATGCAGGGACAGATCAGTCCTAGACAGCATATTCCGAAATTCGAGAACTCGCACAGTCCGTTACTCCATCCTCCGCCGCGGACCTCCTGGTTTGGGTGCGTTATCTGGCCTGGTTGGTGGTATTCGCTGAGATCTTCGACGGGCGCATTGGTTGTGGCTTGCTTGGTGGGAGGAGGGAAAGATGGCAGCTTTGGTGATTGCAGTGGATTGGTGTCTGGCCCAACAATCATTGTGTCACTTCGGACGGGGGCGTCTGGGTTGACTTTCAATGGTAGTGGGCCTGGTGAGTTGGGGGGTGGTGAGCTGGGTGGGCTGGTGTATGAGGCATATTGGGGTGACATTTGGAGGTCGCGAATTTGTTGCTCACTTATCTGGTACGGTTCGGTTTGATATGTTTGGGGTTGGGTATGAGTGCCTTGTTGCTGCTGTTCATGAGCGTTGTATGAATATGGTGCCATACGAGTGGCATTTTGTTGGTACTCCTGTATGCTGTTATATGGCTGTCCTGCATAGGACTGAGATGATATTTGGGTGCTTGGCTGCTGTTCGTGCATATGGGTGTACGTTGGAGACATAGGCATAACATGCTGCTGGGATGTATATGCTTGGTTGGTATAGGGCAATGTCACTGGAGAGCTTTGTAATAGCTGTTGAGATGCATTTGCGAAGGGCGCATAGTGTGCTGGGTGTTGTTCTGGTGGTGGACAGTTGGCGTAGTCTGGCATGATTCCCTGGTTTTGTAGTTGCTGTTCCTTTTCACTTGGTGCATAGGATTGCTGTCGCTGTCTCGACTCCTCCGCGATATGCTGAGCAGGATTGGACTCTCTCAATTCTGGCATTTGGGGAGGAGATCTCAGATCCCGTTGATCGGGAGAGAGGTGCATCTCCACTGGTGTTTCCATAAACGAATATCGTGGGTTATAGTTGCCCCCGGCCGAGGTATCCAGGTTTAAGCGACTCATTCTGTAGATTTGAACACTCGTACGATGGTGGAATGGCCCGAGAAAATGGGATATCACCCGATTTGGTTGGATTTGTGATTATCAACGTCGCTCAATAAATACTTCACAGACGTGAGAGAAATCCAGTGGAAGAAGAATAGAGAACATGCGACAGAAAAGCTTGGGAAACGGGCCTTGCGGAAGCGCGGTGCTAAACGACCGAGTGCGACATTTAAGTCTGTGAATGTGAACAGACGCGCATGGTGGAAGGAAGCCGGCAGTACACTAGAACTTGAAGTGGCTTAAGTGACAAGAGCCTGATGAATGGGGCGTACTCCAGTCAGAGCTATGCGGGGATGCAGTGATCTGAGTGGCTTACAAGCTCTCTCATCTGTTTCTCAGACCAGGACCTGTTGGCCCTAATGCATCAGCTTCACATCACAGGGCGCTCTGGTTGGACTGGGACCCGCCCGGCGCCTCCCGTTGGGCGATCCCTTTTTTCCCCCATCACAATCACACTAGAAGTTGGCGGCAGGAGAACTCGAGAAGTCCCAGGCTGTGATGCGATTCCCATCTCTGATCGCCAGACCGGAATCACCTGATGCCCTGGCTCACCTGACTCCCTTTGTTGTCCGTCACGTTATCCCTGTCATCTCCTGTTCTGGTTACACATTGGAAGAATCACAGAGGACACATTGGATACATTGGACACCTTTGATACATCTAGATACCAAGCCAAGCAGGCAGCAACATTGAGTATCGTGAGAGGGCCTCAACTTGGTAGGCCACAAGCCACAGGTCCTTAAGGGGGGATCTTAAATAGCCAAGCTAAGATAGGTCGTGAGGCGTAAGGCTAGGCTAGAGCAGAGGAAACTGTTTCACTCTTAGTGCGTTTAGCTTAAAATGCCCCCAGACTCCACCGATCTCTGGAATTGTCAAGACGACAGTAGATCCAACAGCTGGAAGGGATCTACCTCTCCCCCTTGAAGAAATCGGGAATCCTAACAACACCCACCAACACTGCACGCTAGCTATCCAAGCTCGGTGATTGGTAGACCCGTGTAAGTATCAATCAAACCTTGTCCTCCCTTGGAAGCTCTGCCCCGTAACAGGAGAATGGGCAGACCCCACGGAGACATCATCCGACGGGGTCAAGCAATGTGATTTGAACTCTGTCGGGATCCAAGATCGTCGATTTGAGAAGTCAATTGCGAAGTGAGATTTGAGATAGTCAAGTTAGGTTATTACACTGTAAGTTAAGCTAAGTTAGCTCAGGAACTATGAATCCAAGCCTATTAGATGCAAGTTCCCTACGGACATCGTGCAGAACAATGCAACCAGGATTCCAGAGGCACCAGAGGGAAATATAAAAACAAGTCGATGACTCGAGAGTGAAACCTTGGAAAAGAGAAAAGGCCAAAGGGCGTTGACTTATCCACTTTCATCGCATCTTTTTTTTGAGTCTATCCAGGGCGGTGACGATCAGTCCGCTTCTTCTCTTTATCTCTCTCTCTTCCTCTCAACCCTCTCCGATTTGCGGTCAAGGTCCAACCTGTAAGATCTCGCTCCCCCCGAACGTGCTCCTGTGGTATTTGACATTTCCTGTTCTAACTCTTCCGGCTGTCCCAGCGCATTGTCCCTTCTAGCCCAATCTTCTCCTCTCTCCCCCCCAAAAGCCCAACCACTTTACTCCCCCCCCCCCCGGTCTCCGCTCTCCATATCCCCGATTCTTTGACCAATGTCCTCTCCATGTCAAATTCGCCGTCCGTTCCCGATGATACCTTGCCTTATCCCCTGGTGACACCTGCTACACCTGCCCAACATGATTGCTCAGAGCGCAGCCCACGTCACCACTCACGGCAGGGTCAGCACTTGTCCCAGGGGTCTCAAGAGGCGCCGTCGCCATCGCGGGCAGAATCTCCCGCGGCCCATTCGTGGTCGCAGCCCTCCCATTTCACCCTAAAAAGGACCCTGACCACACCCGTGGAGACGACTGCGCATCCCGATATTGTGTACCGTCCCCAACTGTCTGAACGGGACAGTATCTTCGCTACTCATTACCTTCCCTCAGATAGCGGCGCAAACACCCCACAACTCCTTCCCCAAAAAGCGGATCATGGCCTGGTCAATTTGATCCCCAGCCTCGATGATGCCTCCGTGTCGCCAAGTACACTCTCCAAGGTCTCTCCCCACCGTCCTAGCGCCGGCCCTTCCCACATGGAAGTTGACGTCCGCAGACAATACCCATTGCGCTCCTCCTCTCTCTTCTCCTCTTCCGATGTCCCGCGGTTATCTCTTCTTCGCTCGTCCATCTCGTCGACCGACCAGGTGAAGACACCGGGGACGGAGGCGGGCGCACATGATCATTTGGGTGGATCTGAGCGAGACAAAGCGCCTTTGGATCATTCAGGTACGAAGACCAGTCGTGCACAGGGGACGTTCCCCGGACGCATCTTGCTTCCATCTGCCCTTAACGATGCATCTCATACCTCTCACTCGTTGACTCTCTTGTCCCCTCACAACGAGAATTCCCAGGTCAGTCCGGAATTTTTATCCTACAGCCCACAAAAAGAGATTTCTTCTCCTGCGGGTGTTGAACGGAGTCCAAGCAGAGGTCGCCGGGGTCGAGTTGATAACTCAATTGAAGCCAATTTGACGAACGCGGAGCCGGCTTCTAACGTGCGCAGCCGTAAGTCCAGCCACTACTTGGGTCTGTTCAAAGAGAACACCACATCGCCAGATCGGAAACGACGGGAGGACCGTGGTCGGCAGGATGAGCCAGAAGAAGTGGCAGATCACGCGATGGACATTGAACACGAACATCCGCGAGGCGAAGAGGAAGCTTTGCTCCGTAAAAGTATTTCTCTTCCGGCGCTTGGCGATGGTCCGGCGTTCGAGCCTCCTTCTGCCTCCGCAACCCCCCAGAGCGCCCAAGACGATGAACCACACAAGCGTCGCCCAACAGCGCTACCGCGCAGCCTCTTAGAAGAAATCCGAAACTTTCATCTTACTCCTGGTGGAGGCCGAGGCTCATCTTTCTCCAAAAGCATTCCAACCCAATATTCAGAACGCGGCCGTGACTATTTCCAAGAACAGCCTCATGTTGAATTGTCTCCCTCAACGTCTTTCGAAGAGGAAGGGCGTGAATCTGGGCGATTTGAGCCCGAGGAAGAAGAGAATGAGCAGATTTCGTCTGCCGTTTATTTCCCCCATGAGCGCACAGTGACCGAAGAACTTAATGACCTGCAGCAATATCCGGAACGGGGTCATGATGTACAGCCGGTTCAGCTATCGGCCGAAAAGGGCCATGAGCTGATGTTAGTCTCAGACCGTAGCGATTCCCCCGAAAAAGAAATCAGCCATGTGGATATTGCCTTCCGATCTAAGCATGATAATAGGATCTTACATGGTGATCTCCATGATGTGCCAGAGAAACCCTTGAGTACGATCTCTGAGCGCAGCTATGATTCAATAAGTGAATCAGAGGCATTATCAGCCGATGACAGTACACTTTCCGTTCCAGAAGAATCAAGTTTGACCGACGATGCGGATACACCCACTGCGACTCCAACCCAACGCTCTGGGCTTCTGCGTCGGAAAAATACCAAGCCTCAGGCGCCTCTAGGCGCCGTGGAATTGAAGCCTTATCGGCATCAGGTTGGTGGGCACACAACCGTATTTCGCTTCTCCAGGCGCGCTGTGTGCAAGCAACTTAACAATCGAGAAAATGAGTTTTATGAACGCATTGAGCAGAGACATCCTGATATGTTGATGTTTCTCCCAAAGTACGTAACATCTCCATCACAAGTCACCGTCTGTATGGCTTTTACTGATCCCCGATAGATACATTGGCGTACTGAATGTTACGTTCTCGAAGACATCTAAGAAGTCCAAGGATCTGGTCAACCCGTCTGGAGACAAACTCCAGGATGCAATGCCAGCGAATGGGTCTTCGGTGCTAAGCTCTCAACTCAAGGAGGCAGCGGAACCACAGCGAATTGTCAGCCAGTCACAGGTAACAGGCGTTATTCCCAAGGTTATTCTCGAAAACAATCGCCACATCATTCCCGCCGACTTGTTCTCCCGAACCCAACGACCACGAACGGCGGATGATTCAGTAGTGAGCCGTGCTCGATCGATGGACGGTCTTGAGGCTATGTCAGTGGAGTCTGACCCATCATCTTTGAGCAAGAGAGCCAAGATTTGGGGCGCTACCACTGTCAACCGAAAGCTTCAAGAGCAGGTTCTTCGTGAGGTGTTCAGCCCTCCTGCTATCCACCACCATCGCCGCCAAGCTCGTGGTCATCTTCACCTCCCTCGAGCCAGTAGCGACTTCCCCTACCGACTTGAAGATATGTCTGAAGATCATATGCCTAGCACTCAGCGACCAATACTGGGAGCTATCCAAGCGCTGAAGACTGAAGCAATTGACATTGTTCCTCCCACCATGGAGGGACCTGCTCTCTCATCCTCCGCATCCACGGCCCTGGACGCTGACAAAAATCGTCTGGAGAAAGTTCGAACCGAAGAAGAGCCCAACAGGGCAAGCTCATTGTCCCGAACTCATCATCAAGTAAGACGCCGGCACTCCGGAAGTGGTCTTCAGAGGCGTGGCAGCATCAACTCTCGTAAGGACGGGGAACTTGTCTTTTTTGATGACGATGGTTATGGTGGTGACAAAGAAGACGATATTTTCTCCATGGAAGCCGATGCCTCCATGCCTTCCAACCCCTCCCAGGTTGCAAAACGTCTGGCTTCACCAGAACGTAAAAGAGATTCGGCTAGTGGACGCCGGGCACTCGAATCTGCAGCTGCAGCGAGAGCATCCGATCTGTCGCATCCCCAGCCAATCACCAATATTACCACCATGTTACCGAATAACCCCAAAGAAGCACAGATGAGAAAAGATGACCGCGTACAGTTCTTCCTTCTTCTCGAAGATCTGACTGCGGGAATGAACAAACCTTGTGTGCTGGACTTGAAAATGGGTACTCGACAATATGGTATCGAGGCAAACGAGAAGAAAAAGAAGTCCCAAAGACGCAAATGCCAGTCCACCACGTCCCAACAATTAGGTGTGCGACTCTGTGGCATGCAAGCGTGGAATGTCAAGAAGCAGGAATATCTCTTTGAAGACAAGTACTTCGGACGAGATTTGAAGTCTGGTCGTGAATTTCAAGATGCACTCACCCGCTTCCTGTACGATGGCGTCAGTTATACCAGTGTGGCCAAAAAGATCCCTGTCATTCTGGAGAAGCTGGCTTTACTGGAACATTTGATCCGACAGCTGGACTCCTACCGTCTCTACGCAAGCAGCCTCTTGATTCTTTATGACGGAGAACCATCACCCCCCAGCAAGGGCCGCCGCGTAGTAACGGAGAACCATCGCTCCTGAAGCGCGGTATGTCTGACGACGGCCACAAAAAGGCAGACGTTCAACTGAAGATCGTCGATTTCGCCAATTGCGTCACAGGCGAGGATAAACTCCCATCAGATACACCTTGTCCACCTCACAACCCGCACGATATTGATCGTGGATACCTGCGTGGCCTTCGCACTCTCCGAATGTATTTCCAGCGAATCATGAAGGAGGTCACGCAAGACGAATTCGTCGAGCGAGGAGAAGGCGAAGCGATTGCTTTGGGATCTCAGCCAGCCGTGCGCGAGCTTCCATCGGACCAATATTGGGACGAGACGATGATGGAAAGTGACGCGGGCGAAGTCAGTTTCTAACGTTCGAAACCTCTTTCTTCTCTCTCATCAGTGATATCAGCCCACTACCGACACGTGGCGTTCGGGGACGAGACGATTTTTTGCTCCCACACTTGGAGCGTCGACATTTATGCACCAGTGCCTGACCTCGCCGATCAGCCAAAACCTACGACTAATGACCCCCGGATGCTTCTACGATACCTGTCAATACTTGGATGCCCGTGATCTTGGGGATATTTTATCTTTTGCCCTTTCTTCCTGGAGCTTCGGTTTTCCCTTCTCGGATACCCAGTGGCTATTCCCCTTGAGTTTTGTCAACTTCATTTCTCGGTCTTGTTTTATTGATATTGATAATACCCCCAATGTCCCAAGTGTTTTGTTTTTCGTCTTTCTTTGCATCCAAGGCCATGGTGTACATCCTTTAGAAACCGATTACTTTTATCCCCGCATAGATCTATAAACCGCGTAGTCACGTGGAATGACTCCAACTTTCTCCGCTTTGACTCTGAACCTCGGAGTCGGAGCTTCCTCTGCCTTGACTCAGACCTCGAAGCTGCAACAGCTTACAGTTCGAGCAAGTCAACATTCCAAACCCCCCTGACTGAACAGTATCCTATGATCGGACCCGACACTCAATGACGTAGCACGAACAACACACTGATCCACCCAGCTGACTCCCCGCTCAAGCTCAAATCCCAGTCATCAGCCTTAATACGTGCTCTCAACCGTCACCCCTGGGAGACCACCCCTGTCGTACACCTGCAGTACTCCCCGCCTATAGCATACATCCAATATTTGACATCTCCCACCTCCCACCCCTTATCACAACCTCATCGATCCCTAACCGACTCAAATCCGCACCACACCCAGCCCCCGCGCCCAGGTGCGGAGAAAGAAGACAAAACGCCGATACAAAACAATGCCAGGTTCCAACAACGCCATCGACAAGCGAGACTTTGACGCGAATCGTCCCCTGCTACAAGACATAGACGCCGAGCCAGAATCGGGTCATCAAAGTCCCGATCTTGGTCCTGTGCGATTACGCGCTGGATCACGGAGTTCGGGCGATGATGGGATCGGTCTGCGGAGTGATGATGGGATTCTTAGTGATGTTGTCGGCGGGATTGTTGAGCGTGATAGGAGAATGATGCATGTCGAGGTTGTGAGGGTTGTTAGTTTTGCTTGGGGGGTTATTACTTGGTATGAGACTCTCCCTCTGTCTTTTTTTTTCTTTCTCTCTCCGCTGTGCATCGTATTCCTTTGGGTCAAGTGCTGAACGCTGACATTTGACTATTGTTGCATTGTATAGTCTCGGAGCTGGCAGTATCACTGCCTTCTCATTATACGGCCATTTGCTGCTCACTCGGTTACATTACTCGCAGCTGCAGGTCAATGCTGTTTCCATCGCTGCTGAGGTTGCCATGTATCTGCCTGTTCCGTTGTTCGGGTACCTATGTGATCGATACAGTCCTTCGCCTTTATCTCTGTTCTCTGGAGTTGTTTTCGGGTTTGGATATCTCCTCGCTGGATATGCATACAAGAGTGGTCCGCCTGTTGAGGCCGGCGGGTCTGGGTTGCCGTTCTGGGTGATGATTGTGGCCTTTATTGCCATTGGCATGGCGACTAGCTGCATGTATCTTGCTGCTGTGGCGACCTGTGCTAAGAACTTTGGCCGAGGAAAGCACAAGGGCATTATGCTTGCTGTTCCTATTGCTGCGTTTGGTCTGAGTGGCATGTGGCAGAGTCAGGTTGGGACGTATCTGTTGTATGAAAAGCTTGACGATGGGACACATGGGGATCTGGATGTCTTCCGATACTTTGTCTTCCTGGCGCTGTTGTTGCTTGGTATTGGTATTGTCGGTACCTTTGCTTTGCAGATTGTTGAAGAAGACGACCAGTATATTGATGAGACTGTCGAGGAATTGGAGCGCAGTGGATTGTTGGAGGAAAGTGATTTCTTCCAGCCTCGGGGTGACATCAGAACTGCACTTGAATATGGCACATTCTCCGATGCCTTTGACGAGGAGAACTCCCAAGCTCTTTCCGACGAAGAACGTGAGCAGAGACGACTGGAAAAGGAACGCGAAGAGGAAGAGCGCCGGAAGAAGAACTGGCTGCTTAATTACGAGACTAGAGTCTTCCTCAAAGACCAGACGATGTGGTGGCTGGCTGCAGGTTTCTTCCTGGTTACCGGACCAGGAGAGTCATACATAAACAATGTAAGTTTTCCGATGTCACCAGAAAGCCCACCCACCAACTAACGCGATATGACATAGTTGGGCACAATTATCCCTACTCTCACACCACAATCCTACCCAGCCGGCGCCTCCCCGCCGGCCGGCTCCCCTTCAACACACGTCACAACAATAGCCCTGACCTCCACAATTGCCCGACTCCTCACAGGCTCACTGTCAGACCTCTTCGCACCACCAGCAACCCATCTCTTCCCCCCAATCTCAGAAGAAGCCCGATACAGACACGGGGCTTTGCCCTCTTCTACAAACGGCCTGACTCTTTCCCGGATGACCTTCCTCATCCCCTCTGCCCTCCTCCTCTCTCTAGGCTACCTCCTCCTAGCCTCGCCCCTCCCCCTTTCCCACCCAGTCCTCTTCAACCTAACCACGGCTCTAATAGGCTTCGGGTACGGCAGTGCCTTCTCCCTAGCTCCAATCATCATATCCGTTGTCTGGGGCGTCGAGAACTTCGCTACGAATTGGGGCATTGTTGCCATGATGCCTGCTGCTGGCGCAGCGCTTTGGGGCGTTGTCTATTCGACTGCTTACCAGCGTGCTGTTGATCATGGTGCTGGTGGTGGTCTGCCGGATGGACAGTGCCACGGCTGGCGCTGTTATGGGTTCTGGGCTGTGGGGTGTACGGTCAGTGTTTGGATTGCGCTTGGGGCATGGTTGCTTGCTTGGAGGGGTTGGAAGAGGAGGGGTGTTGTTGTTTAGACTATTTGATTGTTTGGGTTCCTAGATTTGATTTTGAGTTGGCTGAGCATTTTGGTTCGATTTTAGTTCGATCTATTTTAGATGTTGGCTATTTTTTGGTAGAGGTCGTTCTTTGGTTGTTTCGCTTGATGGTTGTCTTTATATGCATTGGATCTTCAGCGGGTTATACCACCTACATTGTTCTTCAGTGACCAAGTTGTCTCCCAATAGACCAATCAAAAAATCGAGTAAGTTGCTGTATTGTGAAATTTCGCGGCATCCGCCAAGTTCCAATGAAAATGACAAGAACTAGACCACCCACGACACTTAATCAAGTCAGGAGCATTTCATCTTCCCAGAGAGACGCAAAGCAGTGCAACTGTTTTATGTTTTTCAAAACTCTCGAGATTTGTCCAATGGATACAAGAGTATAAGTCAGTGGCAAAACAATGCTACAGGGCCAAAGGTATGCAATATCCAAAGATCTCCTGAAAAGGCCAAGCCCAACAAAAGAAAAGCCAAATGAACCCAAAAGGTCTGAAAGCCAAAGCCAACCCTACACATCTGTCGAAGTAGGGTCCAAACCTGTGAACACTTTATACAAACGTCTACTAGCAGCGGGCCCAATGCGCGCATTGGTCAACGAGCCATTCTTGTTGGCAGATTTCTAGAAAAGAACAGTTAGAATACCAATCCAGACATGAAACACTGTGGGGACCTGCCTTGATATCCTCCAACGTCATGTTCCCATGCATACGCATACCACGAACCAAATCCGTGACGCAGGGATACTGGCCCGCAATGCCATATGCCATCGGCGCAGTAATACGATTGACCTCCTGCATCATCTTGACGAATGTGTCATGCTTGTCCACACCAGACTTGACCTGCCCGACGTCCATGCAGAATGCGGCATTATTTGCTTCCTGGCGTTCTCGGCGGTACGGGACGGTCGAGATGTGCTCGGTAAAATTCTTGATCCATTCAGCTGAATCCGGTGGTGCTGTTGTGTGGTGTATGAGGCAGGAGTGTGTTACTTGTAATTGGAGGAGGGCGTCTTCGATAGTCTCGTCGTCGACAAGGGTTGCAATGTCTGTGGTTTTCTTTTGTTTTCGTGAACGGCCTCGAGTATTAGTCGTAGCAGGCTCTGGCTCGGCTGTTTCTGCGTATTGGCGTAAGACTTCGGCCTGGAAGGCTCTGTTTCGGGCGTTACGGTTCTTGCGCATGAGCGCGGTCAGTCCTTCAATTAGATAAATTGGTTTGCATGTTGAGTATGCTGCTTTGATTTGGAGCACATGTTGCTCTAAAGATTGTCTTTCTTCAGCTTCTGATGTTGAGGTGATCATGTTGATAAAATCTTGCGCCGGCACGAGGCACAGGACATGGTCTTCTTCTTGGATGAATGACGGACAAGGCTCCCAGTGTCGTGCAACTCGGTTGTATGTGGCATTTATTTTGCGACGCCATTTGACAACATTGGGAATTGTACTCGCAAAGAATGTCTGCTGGACGCCTAGTCGTTTCATGAACTCGATAGTTTGAGTACCAACGCTGGTCTCCTCAAGAGAAGTTGCCATGTCGATGATCATTTCCGGCGTGGAGTCCTTCTTGTTTACTTTGAGTTTGTTCACACTTGCGATATCAGCAGCCCGTTGCTTCTCCTTTGCTTTGTCCTCTTTGAGCTTCTGTTTGCGCTCTTTCTCCAACTCTTTTTCTCGCTCTTTCTGTAACTTGGTCGCCTCCCGTACTCGTGCCTTGGCTTCCTTATCCGCAGGATCAATCTTGCTGGTCTTCTTCGTTGGCTTTTGAGGAGCCATAGGCTCATCAATATCATCCAGGAAGATATCCGTAGCCTGGGATTGAGCATTTCCCCTAAGCCCTCGTGTGCTAGGGGCTGCATTTGATTTATCATTGCCAATTTGAGCAAGAAGACGAGCAGTTGTTGAAGAAAATAGAGAATTTGATGCACTCTTCGGTTCGGGTTTATCCAATAGATCGACAAATTCCGGTAAAGCAAACGGATCACTGAATTCCTCGATATCACTGCGCCCTCTTAAACTCGACGGAGGGGGTTTGTTCAAATTCAAAAAATCATCATCATTATCGAAGTCAAACACATCGTGAGTTGACTTATTTTGCTTGCGTGACGCCAAAGGCTTGGGCAAAGGGCCTGGTGCAGGAGATGTAAAAACAATTGGATCTGACTCCTCTATGTGTGACTTTGTTGGCTTCTTTTGTCCCGCGGCGTTCAAGGGCGGCAGGTCGAAATCGTCGTCGGAGATGGCAAACCACGAGTCTCCAACAGAGGTTGGAACGCGCGCTTCTTTTCCTTTGGTATTCTGACCTAAAGATGATGCAGGCTCTTGGCTTACTCTTCGCTTTTTGGCGGGCTTGTCAAATGTAATATCGTAGTTGAACAGTGAGGAGTCGAATGGGTCTGAGGAAATCGGGTTGAGCTGGTGTGATGGACGGCGCGACGGGAGCTCGACTGACTGTTGCGGTTGCGCATGCTGTTTCGGATCGGGAGGAGCAGGGGGATCGGATGATAAGAGGTCAATATATTCAGGCATTGCGACTCCTAATGCCACCAGGGCCGGTGAGAAAGAGGAAGATGAGGGGGACGCGACGTCACCGCGAAAGAAACACGAGGTCAGGTGACCACTTATACATGTGAAAGCATAGGTAACGCCAAGGATAAAAGAGTAGATGTTGTAAGCAAAGGGGGTATGATTGATTTGAAACTAGATATTTCAAACTAGATATTATATCGCCTGAAAAACAATTGCAACAAATACTGCAAGGAGAGCGCCCACCAGAGCCAGGATGGCAAAGACCTGCTGCCACCCATTAAACGGCCGCCTCTCTCCAGTAAGCATAATGGAAATCTCCTCTTCTAATCTGTCACCCATGGCACTCAGAGAGAACTGGTTTTCAGCTCTGATCTTGCCTGCTGCAGCCATGCGCTCAACATCTGTGGGGCTCAAGCCATAGAGAACCTTGTCCATCACAGCAGTCCATTCATCATCTGCATGAGCATCACGGAGCCAGCCCGTTTCACCCTCGACAATCGTCTCCAGTGGACCACCAGTGTTAGATGCCAGTACTGGCAGACCAACCTTCATAGCTTCCACAGGCACAATGCCGAAGTGCTCGTTGATCGGAGTGTATAGAAGGAGCTTGGACTGTTCTAGTAGGGTATCTTTGAATGCACCAGGAACAGAAAGCAGGAACAGGACATCAATCTCGTTTGGAATAGAAATAGCTGAGACGACTGTCTTGGAAGTAGCCGTCTTCAACCCGAGACCGGTTGCCAGCTTATCCAGCTCTTGGTGATATTGAACATTCTCATTAACACGATTGTCGTAACCACCTGTGTTGATGAACGTTAGAAAGAAACCTCCATATAGGTACTAGGAAACTCACCAGCAATCACCAACCGTGTGCCTTTCCTCTTCTCGGCTCCAAGTCCATTATAAGCACGAATCGCTAATGCCATATCCTTCTTCCTCTCAAAGCGATTGATACTGAGCAATATTTTCTTTCCATTCCATAAAGGATCTTCCTTTGTCTTCTCTGACAATTTGGTCGTCATGTCCATATCGACACATGGGTATACCACCTCAACATCACCCAGACGATCAGACCCAAACACATCCCGTACTACCCCACGAGAGAACTTGGAGTTTGCAACGACCCGATCAGAGGCGCTCATAGCCCATCCTTCAAACCAATCGAATGGGAATCTGTAAAGCACCTTCGCCAGCCGAAGAAGCGAGCCGCCCTCATCCCGCCGCGCGAGCAATTGATCAGGGAAATGGCAGTAGAATAAAATACGTTGGCGTTTTGATGCGCGCGGACGGCCGAATGACTTCAGAAAAGGTACACAGGCAGGTAGTTGGTCCACAATGAAGATGTCGTCTCGGTCGTCCTCTGCGTCTTTCGGATCACCCTTCACTCCAAGCTCGCCTAACAGCGACACAGTAAGATGCAGTTGGCGTAACGCAGCCATAAGGATGTGAAGTCGGCCGCAGATGTGGGCGGGAAAGACGGTATTTCCCCGCACGCGGACATCCAGCGTTCCATCGCGTGCCTCGTCGAAGCAGTGTGCTTTGTCGCGGTGGGAGGTGTAGATCGTAACTCGGTGGCCTCGGTTCTGGAGGGCTAGCGCAACATCGATAATCAGCCGTTCTGCGCCGCCGATACCCAAGTCTGGGTGAATGATTGTCACATTGGCGCGCTGGAGGCCCATGGTGAATTGTTTGAAGCTTGAAGCTTGAGCTTGAGCTTGCGTTGCGATAAAAAGACACGTGGGGTACGCGTCATGTGATGCGAATAACAGCAGCTGGCAGGTGGATTTACTTCATCTTTTATGTTTCATTGAATCTTATATTTATCAGCTGTTGCTATCTTTCAATAACAGACTGGTCTCTTGTGCATGAGGTTCTCGTCTGCTGTAGTGATGTGAGCTCTGTACAGTCGGATCCGACTTCTACCTCCACTGCCGGTGGATATTTCTTGTGCCGGAGAGCATACTAAATGCCGACAGACAAGCATGGAGTCGACAAATCTCAAAAGGCCTGTTGGTATCTCTTACAACATTGCCAATGAGTCGTCCTCGAGATCCTTTGATCAGATAACCAAGTGTGGAGTCAAACAAGCTGCATCGGCATCGGCGTGAAAGCCGGTGATTCGTCCTGCTGCTTGATAATTGGATCGCCCCCTTGCGCCAAGCAAAGTCTACGCCGTCTTTTCTCTACCCCCAAAGCTGCCAAATATTGCAGCAATGACAGATGGCGAAAAGATTCATGGCAATAGCCAAGTCAGTGCTGAGCCCGAGGGCACTGCGCAAGCAACTCCAGTAGAGAACAACACTCGCACCCATGCAAAACCAGCGAAACTGTAGGTCTCCGATGTATACCTACATTTCTTGAATCAACAAAACATATGCTGACATGCCTTTCAGTCGCCAAGTATTCGTTGTAGCTGCAGGATTCATAACAATGTTTATGACCTGCGCAATAATCTTCTCTTACGGCGTCTACCAAGCCATCTATGAAGAAATGGCCAAAGAGCCAAACACACCATTCAGCGGAACATCAAGCTCAATAATCAGTCTAATCGGCACATTATCAATGGCCTTGATGTCCATGGGAGGGCCTTTCATTATGACATGGGCGAAGCTCTACGGCCCCCAGCCCGTAATCATGGCCGGTGGTCTAGTATTTGGCATTGGCTGCATTCTGGCTAGTTTGAGCGAGTATGTGTGGCAGTTCGCCTTGACGCAAGGTCTGCTCGTTGGTCTAGGGACGTGTATGGCATATGTGCCCACCATGTCTGTTGCGCCAACTTGGTTTGATAAACGGCGTGGATTGGCCATGGGGGTGGTCATTTCTGGGTCTGCGTGCGGTGGTATGATCTGGCCGCCTGTTCTTAGGGCTATCACGTCTGCTCTTGGGTTTCGGAATGCTTTGCGTATCTCTGGCTGTCTTGTTGCGCTGTTTGTTCCGCTGGCAGGGTGTACTTTGCGCTGGGAGCCCGGGTTTGGGGAAAAGGTTGCCGGGCAGACTTCTGGCCTGTCGAAGAAAACTGGCTGGATTCATGCGCCCTTTGTTGATTGGAAGGTGGCTCGATCGAAGAAGTTTGTCTCACAGGCCTTGGGCTGTTTTCTGCAGTCTAGTGGATACGCCACGCCGCTTTTTTTCTATGCCGCGTATGCCCGGTCGTTGGGATATAGTGTGAGCATGGCGGATAACTTTATTACAATCAGCAATGCGGCCAACTTTGTATCTCGCATTATTGTCGGTTACGCCGCGGACAAGTTTGGAAGACTTAACGTTCTCTTCCTGACTACTATCATCAGCAGTATTGCTGTATTTGCATTCTGGTTGCCTTCGACATTTGCTGGTGGCGCCATCTCGACTACAGCAGCGGAGGTATTGTTTATTATGTTTACTGTGCTATACGGCAGCTTCGGAGCTGCCTATATTTCGCTTTTCCCTGCCAGTTTGATTGAATTGTTCGGCGTGCAGAACTTCACGTCGGTCAATGGAGCATTGTACCTAATTCGAGGTATAGGTGCTTTGTTGGGCACACCACTAACCAGTCTTTTGCTGCCTGGGCAGTCGGCTCTCTCGGATCCATCGAATTACTTGAGAGTTTCCTATACTACTGGCATACTTTTGTTTGGCGCGAGTGTTGCTACATTTTGGGTGAGGATTGAAGGCTCTGCAGGAAAGAATTGGACGTGGAAACTATAAAATGTCCCATTGGGCCCTTCATGTAATCAACATATCCGTATTAATACGCAGTTTATTACATTACAGATAGTGCACAATGCTATCTTATAACATAGATCTCAGTGGGAGACAAGCCGATGTCTTTGCTAGTCTGTGGCTCATATGTGATAACTTAGTAAAGAAAATGCCGGGCATGCTAAGTGAGAGCTTGCTAGGCTTGGACTTCGACTGGGTCAGCACGAGTTCCTTCAATCGAATTATGATGATAGATCCAGACGACTGGACAACTTAGTGCCACAACATACTCATAAAATTGTCTCTATGTGAATTCATTTGAGGGGCAGCCTACAACAGAAGTTGATCAGTATCGACACCATTGTTCCCTAGCAAATAACATATAAAAGTACAAAGGTGGACGTGAACGTGAAGTATGCCTGAAGATGCCTGAATACGGACCTCGGTCCATTTCGATCCCCGCAATCCCGCGAGCTCAACTCAACTTCATCTTTCATGTCTTGACATACTAGACTGACTGGTCCTGTTTCCCTCCGCTCTTTCTGATCTGCTCTGCGATCGGAATTGTCGGACCAGCGCCATCATGCTCCACTACCGCACACAAGGGTACAACGGCTGCGCAGTCAAGTACTCTCCGTTCTTCGACAATCGACTGGCAGTTGCAAGCTCCTCAAATTTCGGCCTTGTTGGCAATGGCCGCCTTCACATCTTAGAGCTCACAGCTAACGGAATTCAACCTTTAAAATGGTACGGAACATCCCCATAAACCCTGCGCTCAACCCGGGCATCTTTCCACGGGCAACGAGAACCGGAACTGACTCATTGCGATTCAAAGGTTTACCACACAAGATTCCCTCTACGACCTCGCCTGGTCCGAGCTACATGAAAACCAAGTCCTTGCCGCATCAGGCGACGGCAGCATCAAACTATTCGACTGCACAGCGAACGACTTCCCAATCTCAAACTGGAAAGAACATGCGCGCGAAGTATTCAGTGTAAACTGGAACCCTATCGCAAAAGACCGATTTTGCTCAAGTAGTTGGGATGGCACAGTACGAGTTTGGTCACCGCATCGTCCACAGTCCCTCCTCACTCTCCCAACCCACAGCTGCACCTACTCTGCATCCTTCTGCCCCCACAACCCAGACCTCATTTCATGCGTGACATCCGACTCCTACGTGCGCGTGTTCGATCTCCGCACCCCGGCCTCGGCCTCCAACCACCTCGTCACTCAAATCCCTATCCACGCTGGTCCTACCGCACCAGGAGTCCCTGGTCATCTTGGTGGTACCGCCCCGCCTGCCGAGGCGCTTACCCATGACTGGAATAAGTATCGGCCTACAGTGCTTGCTACGGCTGGCGTGGATCGCGCCATTCGGACATTTGATATCCGTGCCCCACAACAGGGCCCGCTGGCGACTATGCTTGGGCATGAATATGCTGTGAAGAAGCTGGCTTGGTCGCCGCATCTTTCAAATGTTCTTTTAAGTGCTAGTTATGACATGACTTGTCGAGTATGGAATGATAGATCTGACACTGGTGCCGCTGGGGATGGGGATCTCATGCGCGCTGGTCCGGGCGGTCCTATGGTTGGGGTGGAATTGGGGCGCATGGGTAGACATACTGAGTTTGTGACGGGTGTTGATTGGTGCCTCTTTGGAAATGAGGGCTGGTGTGCTAGTGTAGGTTGGGACGAAAGTCTCTATGTGTGGGATGTGCGGGCTGCGATGTCATAGATGAATATCCAATATATCAATCTGGCAGGGTCCAGACGTTTATTTACTGAGGTCTAAGGATGGTGCAGAATCTGTGCATATCAATCATCTGATTTCGTAAGTTTATATGCTAGAACTGAGTGAAAGTCATCTTCAGATGAAGACGCAGAAGTGATGCATCGCGCTCATATGTGGTCAGGCTCAATGATCCAGCCTTTTGTAGGAACAAAACACCATGACCCGAATCGGCTGCGTTTCCAAATCATACAGTCAAAGTTTTGAGGTTGATGCTCTGAAGACATCATCCATAATGGGTATTTGGTTGCAAAAGACTTGAACCGCCAGACCGCATCCATAGTAATAAGCTTTATTGCTAGTAGTGCCGCAGGTGCTCGTTGCCTGAATGCATGTGGTCCAATGAAAAACCAGTTTATTTCGAGCCAAGTCTGCCCTCGACCTTCTTGCGCTCGCTCTCCTTGAGCTGAGCAATCTCATCCTTGGAGGCATTGACAGCAGCGTGAACCTGGTTGAAGGGGTTCTCCTCGCTCTTCTCGAATTCCTTCCGGCAAAGATCCATGCGCTGGTTGCGACGCAGACCAGGGTTTTCCTCTTCGATTTCTGGCAGGCGGCGAGCCTCAAATGCGGCATACGCAGCCTTGAATCGTCGCTCGGGGTGTCGGTCGATCTTGGAGGTATCCTTGGAGGACAGAGACAGGGCGTCTAGGGCGTTGTCAATACCGGTTGCGTTGAGGTCAGATGCCCTCTTGCTGCCGGCAGGAGCGTCATCAAACTGTGCGAGATCAAGGCCGCGGCTCTTCTTCACTGCGGTCTTAGCGTTGGCTCCCTTGGCCTTCGCTGGCTGGGATGCTTCCTCCTCCTTCAAGAGAGCATCGCGCTCTGCCTTCTTGCGGGCAGCTTCGGCCTTCTTGGCATCGGCGTCATCCCTGTGTAAATATCAAAGTTAGCCAATTGCTCACAAATGGGTTATTTTCGCCGGAGTTCGGTTGCGCATACTTCTTAGCGTTGCTCTTAGATCCCTTGGACCATTGCTTATCCTCCTCGGCGGAATGCTTCTGGTCCTCAGCAGCCTTCTTAGATGCGGCCGCGTCGGCTTTCTATTTCTCGTCAGCATCTTTTCACCTCCAGGGCTGTCACAAGGGTTGTGGCAATAATAGCGGGGGCGGGGTTTAAAAAAAAAAACATACGCGAGCGTTTCCGGCGGCCTTCTTGGTGTTTTCACCAGCTGCTTTCTTGCCTCCCATTTTTGCAGTTTTCACAGTAGTGAATGGACGTAGATGTGAAAAGAAAAAGATGGAATGGGTCTCATCTACATGATCCGATCCGCCAGCCCACCATGCCGAGCCCGCGAAGGCGGTGACGACATGCTTGGTCCGTGCAGAGGCACATGTTCCTGGTGCCTGAAACTTGAGGCAGAAACCCCCGGGTTCGTCTTTGTAATCTCCTATCTCAGATGCAGGACCTCGAACTTGTCAACTTTCAGTTGAGCATCAAAATCCTTATGGCTTTCGCATAGGCCCTATGACTGATATAAAGGGCGACCTTCGTTAATCATTCGTCTTACATTCCCGATCTTACGCTACTCAGCCATTGATTTGAGCTCTATTCCTCCTCTCCCTACTATGATTTAAGTGCCCATCTATCGCAATGGCTTTACTCTTTCGCTTTTTGCAGACCTTTGCTCTGCTCCTTCTGGTCAGCTCGGCAGTTGCTGAACACACCTCCAACTGGGCGGTACTAGTTTCGACCTCGCGCTTCTGGTTCAATTACCGCCACCTCGCCAACGTCCTTTCATTATACCGAACTGTCAAACGCCTCGGCATTCCCGACTCCCAAATAATTCTTATGCTGCCCGATGACATGGCATGCAACCCGCGAAACGCCTTTCCGGGAACCGTCTACAGTAACGCGGACCGCGCAGTCGACCTCTACGGAGATAACATCGAGGTGGACTACAGGGGCTACGAAGTGACCGTGGAGAACTTCATTCGACTCTTGACCGATCGCCTTGACGAGGACGTCTCACGTAGCAAGCGTTTGGGCTCCGATGCTGGTAGCAATGTCCTAGTTTACATGACCGGACACGGCGGCGACCAATTCCTCAAATTCCAAGATGCTGAAGAGATCGGTGCATGGGATCTGGCAGACGCATTTGGACAAATGTGGGAGAAGAAGAGATACCACGAATTGTTGTTCATGATCGATACTTGCCAGGCCAACACGATGTACACCCATTTCTATTCGCCAAATATTGTGGCCACTGGCTCTAGCGAGCTTGATCAGTCTTCCTACTCCCATCATGCGGACAACGACGTGGGTGTTGCTGTTATTGATCGTTGGACGTACTACGTCCTTGAATTCCTTGAGACACAAGTCACAAGCGCCAACTCGAAGCTCAACCTGGGTGATCTATTCGATTCATATGACGAATCGAAGATTCACTCCCAGCCAGGCGTCCGATGGGATCTTTTCCCAGGTGGCGAACAGGAGGGCCGTCTCCGAACTGTGGTTGACTTCTTCGGCAACGTTCAGAATGTCGAGGTCGAGAACGCCAACGCTACTGAGCCCGGCTCTCTCAAGGAGGACCTAGCTGAGATTATGCGGCTGGTCGAGAAATGGCAGAAGCGTGACGAGGAATACTCTGCCATCGTTGGCGATTCCGCTCACAATACCACCGAAGAAATGCCTTCATTGTCCCACGTGAACTTGGCCCCCATGAAGACTGTTGGGTCAACCAAAATGGCCGAAGACAGCAATTGGGCTAAACAGCTGATTGGTCTCTCTGTCCTTGGTGCATGCACCGCAATCTGGGCAGCGGGTTCCATTCTAGGTCGTTCCGCTGTTTAATATATCATCCTTTGGTTTAGATAGCCCTCGAGCGTATAGCATATCAATGGCGCAAGGAGTTACTCTCTTTTGGTTATTCAATTTCAAATGTGGTCTTTTCAATTATCCAAACTTTAAAAGTAAAAGTAAAATATGCACATGCATCGACAAGTACACCAGCCTACGACAAACCGGAGATGCATGCTGCTACCACTGATCTTTAGGATACGGTCGAGCCGCTTGAAACTTCAGGATCTCAGGCCTGTCTTCGGTGGATCTACTATCATTGAATGTAAACAGAGGGGAATGGTGGAATTTTGAGAGCGAGTAAGATTACACAGATTGTTCAGAATGTGGAGGATGTTTCGAAAGGGCCTTTGCCGGTAGAGGTTGTGCGGAAGATTGTTTTACTTTGGGAGCAGGTATGTGTGAGTGATTATTTTCCTTGAAGGCTCATGAGACCTTATGGTGGAGTATATTTGTAAAGAAAGATGTCGAACCCTAATGAAGTAGGTTTTAGTGCCCAAAACGGATATATGAGCCTTGAAATCGACAGCCAATGGGAGATGATGGCTTGCAAATAACTTCAATCTTTGCCAGGTGTTCCCACCGGTTCAGAGGTCACAGCTGTATCAATACTCATACAATTGAGTACTACTTGAGAACAAACTTCGAAATATACAAGGTGCATATCGTTGTCAGAGTGATCTATATGATCAATGTCGTGCATAGAGTGCAAAACGCGTCAAGTTGAGCTTCCTCCACGACCAGGCACCCAGATAATCAGTAGATCTATACCCAGACAAGTCTCAAGAATCAGAATTCAAGAATTCAGGAGTTAAGGAGTCAGACATAAAGGGAGCAAATACTCCGTCTTTGTCGAGGTGATGAAGGTATGGAATCTGGCACGTGCCTCCGACGCGTCGCGCTTGTCCGCTTCCCCGGCGCTATGAGATTGTCTTGCTGCAAGGGCTTCCCAGTATTCACCACAACTCCCTAAGCCGTGTTTATTCTTACAGGCTCTTCTTCATGAGCTGTCGCATGAGTCTCTGAATATCCTGACGCTGGCCATGTATCTCCCTCGGCAGCTCATCTCACACCTCTACCTACAACTCCTCCGATCCCACCACCCACTCTCTCCGCCGGTCCTGATTCTCGTGGCACTGGAACCAGACGCGCTCTGTGCCTGTCGAATACTTACAGCTTTGTTGAAACGCGACTATATCCCTCACAAAATCCAACCCGTCGCTGGCTATGGCGACTTGGCGCGCGCGGGGGAAGAGCTGGTGCGGCCGATGCAAACCACCAATGGTGGTAGCGGAGGGGTGGTCGTGTGTCTTGGTGTAGGGGGTCTGGTTGATTTAGGAGAGATCCTTGCGCTGAGCAACCCCGATGACGAAGTGGAGGATATGGGCGGCGTGGAGATCTGGGTGTTTGACGCGCGACGGCCGTGGAACCTGGGGAACGTGTTCGGCGGACAAGCTGGCATGGGCCAGGCAATGACCGAAATCGATGCTAATGCGCGACGGCGGGGTCGTGGTGTGGACAAAGGTTGCATCACTCCTGCTTACACGTCGAAAAATGGCGGCATTATCGTGTATGACGATGGAGACATCGAGGAGGAACTCAGCAGTGAACGCGAGGCATATTACGCGTTGTTAGAGATGCCCGATGTGGACGACGACGACGCTAGTGACGACGATGCTGAAGACGATACGCACAAAGGGTCCAAGAAGCGGAAATCGTGGTCTGGTCGTGAGGACGACGAAGACTCCGATGGCGATGAACCACCCCACCAACGGAGGAGAAGCAACTCGGTATGCAACATTGATCTCGATCGGTCAATTATCTTCTAACTTGCGACAGGGATCTTCCATTACTTCGTCTCCGTCCCGTCGAAGAAAGACTGGTCTCAATTCTTCCAACTCATCGCGATCTGCGACTCCTACCGATTCCCCGTCACCAGAAGACACAAAACAACCATCGGCAAGATCTTTGAAGAAACGTTTACTTAATCTCAAGAGAAGACATGACTCGGTTCTGCAAAAATACTATTCTTCCGGAACGTCATATTCCGAACCGATTTCCTCTCTGATTTACTCGCTGGCATCCGAGCTCGGACGAGATGATAACGACCTGCTATGGCTCGCAATTGTCGGTGTTTCTAGCTTGGAACTCAGCGGTCGAACAATGACCGGAGTGGGAATTTCCAACACATCAGAATCTGGAGGTTCTGCGGGCTGGGGTGGCCAGCGTGGTGAACATATCCGCCAAATACTTCGCGATGAAGTGCATCGATTAAATCCTCCCGATCCTTTAGAACGAGATCGCGATATTCGAGGAGAAATTAATGGCGTCATCCCCACAACTGCCCGATCACCAACTGATACATCAATTCGCCTTTCCCCGGAGCCTAGGTTCCTGCTTGTTCGGCACTGGTCACTATATGAGAGTATGCTACACAGTCCTTATCTCGCTCCGCGACTACATGTTTGGACCGAGAATGGTCGCAAGCGATTACACAAGCTCCTGGCTAAAATGGGCATCAGTTTGACCCAATGCCACCAATATTATACCCACATGGATATGGAGTTAAAGCGTGTCTTACGATCACGTTTGCTCAAATACGCTCCCATGTACGGTTTAGATGGTCTCGTGCCCGCAGAGGGCACCGGAAGTGCCAGTGCTAGAGAAGGTTGGGGGTTCGTACGTTGCTGGGGCTGGAAGGCCTGCCTTTCAGCTACAGACGTTGGCGTCATTGTGGGTGCAATGCTAGAAGTCGGACCGCACGAGGTTTCACCGTCCTGGGACTCCAGACGCCTTCCTGGAGCGGGTGGAAATAATAATTCGGAGGGTGGCGTCACTGCAGCTGAATCGGACTTGGAGAGCCTTCTTCCGCGATTCTGGGGTGCTTACGATGCTCTTTCATTAACGTCAGAGTCGCCCACACTTCTCCTGGAGTCTTTGCCCCTAGCCCAACACCTACACCGTGCCATCCTTCGTACTGGTACCTCTCTGCTGTCCAAACATCAAATTCGCCACCTTCACGCATTCCGTATTGCTGTTGTTAAAGATGGCCCTGACGTGAAGCTGTTCACCAATGCCGGTGCCTTGACGAAACTAGCCTTGTGGATTGCCGAGGCCATTCGGGTCCAAGAGAAAGAACGTGGTGATTCCGTGAAGATCGGTCGCAAGAGAGCAGCTGGGACTCCTCTTGTCCTCGCTGGCCTCGATGAAGACCGCGATCTCTATGTTGTTGTTGGCACTGGAGGAGGTGGTGGTGTTGTCGACTTTGGTGCTCTGTCCAAACGTCAAGACGAACGAAAGAAGAAGAAGGAAGCACGGGATAAGAAACAGCAGGAGAAAGCAGACCGACGGGCTAAACGCGCAGCTGAGCGTGCCGAGAGAGAAGGCGGCAGCGATGCCGAAGAAGAAGAATCAGAAGATTCCGAATCCTCATCGGAGTCTGAGTCTGAGGATGAGGAAGACCCGCGTGGCAAGAAGCATCTCCTTCGCAACCGATTCGGAATTGCCTTCCAAGAGGTCGTCCAGCAAACCAATGCCCGTGTACGCATTGACAGCTTCGAACACTGCGTTGTCGAGGTTCAAAAAGATGATCTCAGCGGTTTCTTGGAGGCACTGAGTTTCCGCAGTGTGGTGGGCTAAATCACCAACAATCATTTACGCAGTCTACGACCTGTCTTTGGGGGGGAAATATGGGACAGTGAACTCGGTATGCCATTGCATCTGTCTCCGGCGTTTTATGGTGTACGAAATGTTTGTGATCTACGGTATATTCCATAGTCGCATCAATCTATGCATTCGGCATTCTCTCCGAACTTCTTCCCCTCCCCGCATTCTTAATTCTTCCTCCAATTCTCCTCCACACTGTTCCCACAGCCTCAATTGCTTCACATCCCACACTTCACGATTCCAAAACACGCAATCATAATGTCTCCCCATTACCCAGTCCTCCCCCGCGAAGCAACCCTCGCCAACCTCCCAGCCGAGTATCCAACTGACACACAAGACCAAATCACCCAAATCCTCTCAACTACCCCAATAAACAAACTAGTAGTTCTCGACGACGACCCGACAGGAACCCAAACCTGTCACGACATCTCAGTTCTGACAGTCTGGGACATCGAAACGCTAACAAAAGAATTCCAAAGCCCCAAACCAGGCTTCTTCATTTTAACAAACTCACGCGCTCTCCCACCCAACGAGGCAGAAACCCTCATCCGAACAATTTGCACGAATGTTAATTCAGTCGTCAAAGCTACAAACCAAAAGGTCGATATCGTGCTGCGCGGCGATAGTACTCTCCGAGGTCATTTTCCACTGGAGACAGACGTAGCGCAGTCGATCTTTGGGCCTGCCGATGCACTCGTCCTAGCGCCGTTCTTTTTCCAGGGTGGGAGACACACCATTGATGATGTGCACTATGTTGCGGAGGGTGGAGATCTTGTTCCGGCGGGGTTGACACAGTTTGCAAAGGATGCGACGTTTGGATATAAAAGTTCCAACTTGAGGGATTATGTGCTGGAGAAAGCCCCCGGAAGGTTTGGTTCTGAGCAGTTGTGTTCTATCACGATTCAGGATATCCGAGTAGGGGGCCCGCAGGCTGTTTGTGGGAAATTGCTCGATGCGCCTCGTGGTGGAGTGATCATCGTTAATGCTGCCGCTGAGTCTGATATGCATGTCTTTGTTGCCGGGCTGCTGCTTGGTAAGTCTGACATTGTGGCTTCGCTTCCATATCACAGAAAGGGAATAGAACTGATGAAATATCTTGCAGCCGAGTCCAAGGGCAAACACTTCCTCTATCGAACCGGAGCGGCATTCGTCTCTACGAGACTGGGAATCCGCTCGCAAGCGCCCATCACCGCAGCGCAACTGAACCTCCCCTCACCGCGTCAAACGGGTGGATTGATCATTGCCGGATCCTACGTTCCTAAAACCACAGCCCAGTTGAAAGTACTGATCGACCGCCGTGGTGTAACGGGCGAGCTGGCAACCATCGAGATGAAAGTTGACGAGCTGATTGCATCGCCTGCGACTGCATCACAGACTGTCCAGCGGGTTATTCAAGAAACGGAGTCCAATTTGCGCGCTGGAAAGGATACACTCGTTATGACGAGTCGGAAGCTTATTACTGGTGGTGATGAGCTGTCTTCTTTGAAGATTGGGTCTGCTGTTGCTGAGGCGCTTGTTAGTGTTTTGCAAGGTGTCGAGGTGCAGCCGAGGTTTATCATTGCTAAGGTATGTTCTTGGTTACTTTTAACTGTGGTTCAAGAAATTTCTTTGGTATGTATGGGGTGCTGACTTTTGTTTAGGGTGGTATTACATCTTCGGATGCTGCGACTAAAGGGCTGAATATCAAGCGAGCTACCATTGTTGGTCAAGCGGCACCCGGCGTACCTCTATGGCGGTGTGACGAGGAAACCAGTCGCCATCGCAGTGTGCCATATGTTGTCTTCCCTGGCAATGTGGGTGGCGAGGAGACACTCTGTAACTTGGTAGCCGGATGGAGCTAGATGGTTGATGAATTAGAAGCAATGTCATACACCCAACGACGAATGATTCTTATTGCATAATATACCGAAGGTGGTGTTATTTCATAGGTTTCATTATATGGGATATCATTGGAAAAGGTACAAATGCTGTTCATGCTCAAGACGTTCAATCAATACGTTCGTTCATCCATAGCATATCAAAGTAATTTCTTGGTGAGATCATCCCCACCAGAAGCTAACACTAATTCCAGCCCTCAATCCACGCACATAATGCCACCATCCAACAGGAATGTAGAGGCACTCGCCTGCATGGAGGACGGTTTCGACATAGGGCGCATCCATAAACCCAGGCCACATTTCTTCCCACTGCTCGAATTCAGCGGGAGAAAGCTCAATAGAGGCCAGATCGACCCTGGAGGTATTTGACATATCAATAAGCTTAGTAGTCAGTGGACGAGCCCCCGTTTCCGGATCTGGGTCCGCCGATTCATCGACAGAAGTGACAGTTTCTTCGCCGCGTGGGTGAATCTGAGAGGCAGGCGTGTGAGGCGAGTACAGGCGGATATATTTGGTGCCCACGACCTGCGTGAGGATATTGTGGTAGGGGTCATGGTGGAGAGGGGAGATAGTCCAGGAGGGACCAATCCATGTGTTGATGATCGGGTCACTGGGCAGACCCGAGCATGAGTCTCCATCTGAATGGTCATTTTCTTGCTGGCTTGCTAGTGAGCCTCGTCGAGATCCCGATTTTTCAGCGTGATTCTCCGATGTCGATTCTTGGGCCTCCCTGCGCTTTAGCTCCCTCTTCTCATATACCGGCGTGCCAGGAGTTGGGGCTGGGGGAGTAATGTAACAATAGTCAGGGATACTGATGTCTTTGCGCAGAGCAGGGATCTGAGCAAGCAAGTCGTGCTGCGCCATATAGCCCGTTTCGCCGCTCTGGTTTACACCATGGCCCTGGTTTTCTTGCCCGCCTGTCGGAGTCATCTTCCCATGCCAGATGTAATTTTCAACAAACTCCTTAAACGGCATGATCTTCTGCCCCCAGTCCTCGTCTGTGTATGACCTTCCCACCTCAACGGGTACAAGTCTGCGACCCGCGAGCGTGCGTTTCCACCAGTAGTCACGCGAAGCCCAAGGACGTGTTGACAATGCCGGCCAGTGATCAAGCGCGTTTGTAATGATAAGCGGGGTGCGTACATCCTCAATGTGATGTTCGATGGAGTCAAACGAGGGCGCCGACAATCGCGGGATGGGGAACTCGATGTGGGGATTAGGGAGAGCATTTGGAGGGAAGAGAGGCGGCGAAAACTTCCGTCGCTTAGATTGAGGTCCTATGTTGTCGTCGCTGTCATTTTCGGCATCTTGGGCTTCTGTTGCGACTTCCAGCGTGGACAGTAGGAGCTCAATGAGCCGTTCGCGGCGGGGTGCCCCCGTCATGATCAACGCGTTATCGAGGATTTCCACGACTTGAGACAGCCATGGCGCATGGAGACTGACTCTGGGCTCTGTGCCTGCATCTTCGAGTTCCTGTATCCGGAGCACCACGTTGAAGTTTGGCTCGGAGCTGGCGGAGGTCAGTCCGGCGGCGATGACGCAGGCGTGGATGATTGACGCGTCGGTATAGAGCCGGCGCCAGCACTCTTGCACATTTTTGAATGGGAAAACGTGTAGTTTGGCGTTGGCAGCCTGCTTTGCTTTTTCGAAGTTCGTGAGCAGGAGCTCGCGAAGCTCATCGCCACATTCAAGAATGGGGTCGTCAGAGGTTGGCTTGGCGATGGCGGACACCGCGTCGCTGAGCACGGAGAGAAGGCCCATTGTGAAGAAATGGGAAAGCTGTTTCGGAATCAATGGCCATCGAAATCAAGTCGAGTCCACTTCCATTTCTTTGGATTTGGCAAGTGTTTGCATGAAAGTTGCCCAACTTCTCCCCTTTTGGGCCACCGACACAAACATGGCCTTTCGCTTTGCAACTCACTACATATTTTCGCCAATATTGATTTCGCTCTGGGAATACTATTTGATGATTAATTGGGATCTTTAGAATATGTCGACATACAGCGCTGCATCAAGGCTCAAAGACCAAAAATAAATATATATACCCGATCCATAGTCCGTTGATTCTGAAATATATATCTCCTCCGATGGACCACTCCAATTGTGATATACACGCGTAAAATCTTAAATCGAGCACCACGAGGCGTATTCTGTTGCAAATTGTAGCCACTTGCGAAGGCCTATGGTCCAGGTAACAATAGCTCACTGAGGAACTCCCGAACTACAGCATGTTCCGTTCCCTCCTTTTGATACATCTACCACTTCAATGCATCTTAGAGCGACAAAATGCTTCAGAAAGTATGATCTTTTGTGTCCTGCCAGGTCCTCTATGACCTCAGCCTTGAGTTTAACCGGCATTATCCATCCTACAAAATTCCAGTTTGCACAGAATATCTCATTCTTGCGGGTGATATTGGGCGCTTAACGAACTATGATGACCATCGCAATTTCATACAAAAACAGACAACCGATTCAAATTGGCATTTCGAATGCCCTGAAATCATGAATTCTACAATGGGACTGTCGCTACAGGACTGGAAAAGGCTCGACAACGCGAACGGGATACTTCCTTCAATGGACGATTGACTGTCCTTAGAAACAATTTGATGTCCCGGGCTCTGGTGTCTCTATTCTAGGCTACACGCTTTGGTCAAAAGTTCCTCATAAACTGACGGATGTCGTCCGGTCAGAGTCAAAGATTTTCAAAAGAAATCGATTCTTCTTGTGACACACCACGTTCCTTTACTCCAGAGGACGTCGAGCCCGCAACACGCCCAGAAGCCTTGAAGTGGTGCCTTTGGGACTGATATTCTACCACAAACACCAGATGGGGTGAAGAGATCATACCGCTGACTTTAAGGAGGAGGGGGTAAGAGTTCCAAGTTTGTGAGCAACCAACGGGGATTTATGCTGCCTTCAGCTCAGCTCAAAATTCCTCGATGGTATTGAAGCCATTCGAATACGGTCGTAGGTATAGTAATCGGACCTTTTTCTCAACGCACGTGTGCTCTATTTCCGTGTGATCTACCCGAAGCTTGGAATTGGGTATGATCTATTGACCGATCTATCAATTTCTTTAGGGAGTGATCTCAGAACAATTTGACTTAGGAGACTGACCTGGAAATGGAAGCTGAAGTAATCTGACATCGAGGTACAAAGCCCAAGTGCATTTTCACTTCTGCTCTGGTTCCTTTTGCTCACTTCGTCTGAACGGAGAGGCGAGGAATCGAAACCCGGAACGACAGCTTCGCAGGATGAAGATTATATTATCGAAACCAAGGGGTACCGACATGATGAGAATTTTGTATGTGAAGGAATGAAGATATATTCATTCTAGGGAAAGGGATCTTGCAAGGCTATGCTCTTGTATTAGAAGGAGGCTGTGCTGCACGGTTATGGGGCGGTGCTTAGGGCTTATCTTGTCTCGTGTCATCCATCACCACGAGACTGCTGAGACACACTTGTCCTATAACTTCTAGGGGTTCACTGAAATCCTGCTTACATTCCTGTTGCTGATATCAAGCAAGGTAGTCTTATGTCTTGTTCTAGAAAGAAGGCAATAATTTCACTTGATTCTGATCATTGGTGTCGTTGCGGGTCCAGCCACGGGAGAACGACCTCATCCAAGAGCTCAGGGGTTCTCTGAAATTCATCACTCTTAATAACACTCTGCACAAATGAAAGATCATGCTCAACAATCCCGCCAGTGGCTCCTGGTTGCGGCCTAGAGCCGTCGAAAACCTTTGCAAGAAAACGCATGAATGCACGTAGAAGCGGAATCACTGTGTCATCAGTCTGGTCTGCAGCGTTCTTGAGGGCACTGATGAGGAGGCCAGGTGCATAGTAAGGGATGATTGCAACTCCGTCATCTATACCATTCACATTGAGTCCATTCACCAAGTCAGCTTTGGTTGAAGGTGAAAGCTGGTTCAACGCCTGCTTGAACTGTTCAGCCTGGTCTTTGGTGGTGACTCGGCCCATGCAAAGCAGTCGGAGGAGTGCCCACTCCTCATCAGCCAAAGAAGGGAGAGTAAATCCTTGTTTCTGGAGATTGCTCCCTCTGGATTGAAGGATGCGCTCGTAGCATGCGTGTGCAGATGGTGTCTGGCCATTGGCAAATTCATCTAGAGCTTCCATTGCCTTGATGTATCCTTGAAATACGGGTTCGGTCATCACAATACAACCCCGGGTATCTGCATGACCTCCCGCACCAGCAACATCAAGAAAAGTGACCAAAGCTCGCAAAGTAAAACCTCGTCCTTCACTAGGTAGGTGTTTTAAAATATCAAGACTGGCGGGAGGACACTCTCCTTGTACAACTTGGGCGATGTTCAGCGATGATCCAATCTGAAGACAGCAGAGAATATCACTCTGAAGAGGGGCTGAGACCATGCTGAGCGCAGGAATAAGATCCATTCGGGCTGAGGCTGCCTGAAATACCAGCTGTGAATGGTCTTCACCAGCTGATTCGCCAGTTTTTTGTTCCACCTCCTTGGCAAGATTGGGGTCTTTTCCTATGTCATCAACCACCATGGCAATCAACAGCATATGGAGGCTGTCCTTGGTGGGCAAACGCTGGATATAAAAGTCTCGCAGCTGGCGGAATGATTTCTCGCTGAGCTTGATAGCCTCTTTTTGACCGGCAGCGAAGACTAAGTAGTCGTCTGCGAGAAGCCATTTGACCGCCAGCATACTGACCAGAGTGCGATTCACTTCTGCAAAGTTTTCCCCATAGAGCACTGTCGAAGGTGTTTCATCTGCACCCGGTCCCAAACGACCGATCGGAGTTTGACTGGTCGTTTCCACAGTAGGACTTGCATTTTGCAGACGCGATAGCTCCGGTTGAAACGCTACCCCAAACAAAGCGGTCGCATCCAGGTCTGACATTTGAGCGAAGTCGCTCAGCCCCATATTATTGAGCGAGTCCATTATGCGATGTTTTGCGACAACTGAATATGTTAAATTATTTGCTGGTATCAGAGAGTATGAAAGATCAGACGATGAATCAAGCTAAAGATGGAAAAGAGATGGAAGAGAACTGTAAACAGCCTCACTGCGGTGTTAAATACCCGCGTTGGTGGGTCACGATCTTCGTGAGATCTAACGAAAAGCGACCGATGTTTTCTAAAGCTGATCTTTGACTTTATGTGCTGGCTGAGAAATACACGCCGTGCTCAAGTGAGATTTACATGTGAATTCGTGAGCTTTACGAAGACAAGAATTCTAGCCCTAATTGCTGTCTCTGAATTCATGTGCCTTGGGTGGGTCATCCCGCACTTCATATATTGTTCTGCAACGCTTAGGCCATAAGATATTACAGAAAGAATGTCAATTAGCTCTTCATTTAACTAGTGTACTCATGGGCATCGTCCAAGTCCTTGCTTGGCAATCAGAACATGTGCAACTCACGCCCAGCGTGGAACATGGAAGGTAACAACTTTCGGTTCCGCGAGAGATCTTTCACAGGAGTACGCAGTGGCACCGGGACACGCTTCAAAGCGCCCTTCTCGATGCGCGAGTCAAGATATTCAGCCCAGGCCTCGGAGCCGAGTCCAGTCACCACCGATCCAGCCGCTTTGCCCAAGTTGGCAATCTTTTCCCAAGAAGCATTTTGAGTGACCTCCATAGCCAGCTCAAGAGCAGTCTTATCGGCATCGGGGTTTTCGCTTTTCCAGGAATGCACCAGCTTCTGCATTTCATCACCGGCGGATGTCATCTGCCTCTTTCCGTAGAGAGCAATTTCAAGCGTATCGCAGGTGCGTTCTTTCTTTTCACGGGTGAACTGGTGCCAGTATTCGGTTAGACCTTGCTCCGGGGCGGCATCTTCAAAGCTGAACGCATCTGTGGGAATCCGCCGCCCATAGAAATCATTTCCAGCACCAAGTTCCAGCCGGCAGAGGTACCATCTGGCCCCGGGAACACCTGTAAATCTCGCAAGAACCCATTCACCTGCAATACTGTGAAGATCGGGCTTCTGCACAAATGAAATCATACGGGAGACCTTCCTTTGCTCGTAGCTCTTTTCGGGGCTGACTTGGCTCAGGAAAGAAGTATACTTCGATGGAGATTCAGAATTGCCTTCAGAATTGGCCACTGGTACAGCACTCTGCGTACTGTTAGTGGTTGCTGCACTGTCCGTATTTTCAGAAGCCTTGCGGTCAGAATCAGTGGTCTTCTTCTTCTCTTCGAAGTTCCGCTTGATGACCTCCACCAGATCAAGTTGCTGCTTAAGCATGTCACGTTCGCAGGAGAATGCAACCAGGGTCACAGCAAAACCAGTGCTGATGGTGCACCAGCCATCGATGAACTGGCCACTGACAGCACTTTTGATTCGTGAACGAAGCACCTGTGGCTCAATCATATCGACAATGATTCTTTGGACATCAAAGATGCCTCGAATACCGGCAGTGCTCACTGTGACTGGGTTGGGGCAAACCATTCTTTTGTCTGAGGATTGCCAATCGTCCATGTGACCGGTTGGATGCTTTGTATCGTTGTTGGAGTTGCCCTTCTTTTGTGCCTCAGACGCACGACTTGGCTTTCCGTATGATGCAGCATTATAATCAAGGACATCAAGTACATGTCGGATGTATGTTTCCAAAGGTTCCTCGGCATGATTATATCCAGAGCATGGGTTTTTTGCCTTTGAAATTGAGTCATCGTCTACCGACGTGGTGGCTTCGGAAGGTGCTTCGGCTTCAATTTCCTGCACAGCGGGTGCTTTCTTCCCAAAGGGCAGCTTTGATATTTCAAACGACTTGACTGACTTGGGCAATGAATTCATTCGCCCAAAGCCAAATCTTCCGGGCTTCTCATTGCTTGGGTTTACCTTGTTGTCTGGTGTCTGATCCACACTATTTTTGGCCTTCTTCGCTGTCTCATCTTCCGATTTGATATCTCCCAGTTGTTCCTGAAGGTACGCAGCAACCTCTTTCAGGTTCTCGATACAGGGCTCAAGTTTATCAAACTCGGCGAGCTTGATCTTGCTCCCGAGGTACTCCAGATCACTGAATAGCGGATGACCATCCGGCATCTCCTTGACAGTTTTCAGAATCTCGGCAACGATTGCGTTGACATTGGTAGCAATTTCACTCCGACGCACCCGCTGGTCCCTGAACAACTTGATAATTTGCTGATTGGTCTTTGCCTTGGCTTTCAGCTTTTCGTTTTTCACAGGATCCAGGAACGCATCAATGGCTGCAGGATACAGCGATCGTCCGTGCAGGGGACTGCCGTGGTGCTTGCCAGTCCAATTGAAGACCGAAACATCGTTGTATGAGACAACTACCTCATCAAGCAGCCGGGACAGGGCCTTGGGAAGACCCTCTGCTGGAAAAGCAGGGAATCGCACACCAAGAATACCCATCAAAGAGTACGCTTGATCAGTCGGAACCGTGGTTTGTCGTGAGGATGCCGTTACCAGGGATGTACTAGCAGAGGAATCCAAGAGGCCATCTCCAGTGATCCAGTTGGTCATGTTCTCGACTTGGCTGAACTTGGAAATAGCCTTCCGGTCCTCAAGAATAGCCTCATCGGTCAAATCAACCAACTTCGTCAACATATGATTGAACACGGCAATTCTTTCATTGAGATTTTGTTCTTGATCCATGAGGTTGGAAAGACAGGACAAATCAACGTCTTGCTTGCTTTCAGCCAAGGATTTCAGTAGGGTAGGCAGCTTGGTACTGGCTGTCAGAACTGCCTTTCCAATTTGGGCTTCCGCCATTTTCTCTTTTAGGTGTTTCGGCGGCGAGAATGATAGGAGTTGAAGCATGAGAGAGAGCTTTTGCTCCTGAGGCATCTCCGCTTTAATGACATCCCCCTCCAACAGCTTCTCAAGTGTTTCAATTTGCTCAGCTGGAATAGATTTGAGTTGGAGGACAAATGGGTGATTTCGATAGCGTTGGATGAAGGGACGAAGGTGGTAGAAGGGACCAATGTGCTCAATGGGTCTGGCCAGATTCTCCCAGTGCGAATTGACATAGTAGGTGACTTTGCTGAGAACCAATTCTTGCAACGTCCATCCACGCGTTGCCCATTCCACCTGGTTCCTGGCTTTCTCGGTCGCGTCTGCCCCGGAGCCAATTGTATCGAAAGTCTTCATGTTGACTTCGATGGGTTCGTGAGAATCAGTCTTCCAATGTTTCCATTCTTCAATCCACGAAGACTCTGACCGAGGGGTGTCCAGGTGAACCAGACAAAAGTCGGCATTGGCATACCAGTCACCCATCAAAGCCAAGGACTCGGTCAATTCATAACTATCTGCTTTGTTGATACAGCAAGTATCGAGCCAGACATATCGCTTTCCGCCTTTGGGGAAATGCTCATCAAACAACTTTTTGGCTTGGGTGATTGAATTGTCAATTTTGCGAGAGGATCGGATATGTTGGAGAGAAGTCATCAATTTCTCGATTCCGTAGCATAGTTCGCGGTTGTCGTCAAAGAACTTAATTGTGCTGCTCGCTTTTTCTCTTGCTGTTGAGGCGGCCTGGAAGTTCTCTTCTGCCTTTTTGTGTTGGGCAGATGCGTCTTTTCTCAGGAGATCAATTGCCTTGTGGACCTCTGTCTTTTCCTTTCTCTCTTCATTCTCCTCCGATGACTTGGATTCTTTTTCCGGCGTTTCATCAGTCTTCGGGGCACGAGACCCGAAATCATCGGCTTGATCGAGTTTGGCCCATAGATCATTGTAATAGTCTGCCTCTCGTTCGGCGCTCGAAAGGTTTCCTGTAGCATCATGGAGAGACTTTTGTGCTCCACCAAGGGCATACTCAGCACCACTAGCATCGATAAACCATTGGAGAAGCATTTCAATATCTGCTGGTCGTTGTCCATCATCTGTGGGAATGACATTTGCAAGCGCAGCCTCAAGACTCTTTTCTAACTGATCAATGTCGGATCTGCAATTATTGATGACATTGCTCAGATCGTTCGAGTTTGACCTTCCCTCCTGGGCTTGGGTACCAGCCTGGGACCCTTTCTTGGGATCCAATGTTCGGGCATTGGCAAAGTATCCATAGCCAATCTCAGAGCCTTTCCAGCTATGAGAAACAATACAGTACTGGTCATTCATCCCGAGGTTGTAGGTGGGGACCATGTTTCTGGTCTCGACATCGAACATGCGGAAAGGCATCTTCAAGTCTTGCTCGACCATGGCCAACCAGTCATCGGGGACCCTGTCGTCATGATGTGAAGTCGGATTATGATCATCGACAAAAATCGGCTTAATGCTAGGGGTGAGGAAATGCTTTAGAATGTGGCGGAGCTTGTGGTTTTGATTGTCATTCAATGCGACGTTTTTGAGTCGTTCCATGCGATCGCCGGAGTATGTGGCAATGTCTATGACCTCCTTCACCACCGGGTTGGTGGCGAGGTTGTCTAGAATGGTGGACTTGATAGCATTCATTTTCAAAGTCCGGGGGACAAGACGAGTCGTGGTCTTGTAAAGAGGAAGCCGCCTCGGAGGGGAAGATACCACAACGTTGTATACGTGAGCCGAGCAAAGTGGGTGCGCGGCACGTACACGTAAAAGGCTTGACTATTTCAGCTGAAGGGGGTCCAGTGCACTATGCACGACCCATCACTATGCAGGCTTGGTCTCCGCTGAAAGGCCCTCGAGGGCCCGGTAACTCGGATCAAAGACACTGTAATTTCAGCTGCATGACGATCCTCTTCCGACTGACGACTGCGTTCGCTTTTTCGCTGAAACTCTCATAGTCCCTGACTTATTACTATTGAAGATCCCTATATTCAGCAGTCCAACAACACCTTTCTTCGCAATGGCTTCCTATCATCGAATGCTAGAGACATTTGGCAGGTCTATTCACGACAACACCTTGGAGTGTGACACGTACGCTTCCCATCCCATGGGCGCAAGCTATCCAATCTATGGCATTCTAACAGCTCAGTGATATTCACCCATGGGAGATTTCCATCGATGGAGAGCAATGGGCCGGCAAAATCCGACTGATCGGGTTCGTGGACGTATTCTTTCTGATTTCCTACTCTGCCAATGCGCGATTTGAGCATGGAATCATTGTCTACAGTTTGTTTCCTGACGCGCAAATCTTGGCTCACAACTAATTTTGATACAGAGGACAAACTGGACATTGAAGAACTGAAGGAGTATATGCCCAAGAAAGCGGGCCAACCCGAGCCAAGCCCTAACACACAGGAGCCATCGGGAAAACTGGGCCAAAATGAAGAAAGTGAGAGTGTCCCAACGGGACTGCAAGATGCAAGTGCTCATGAAAAACAGATCTCACTGACCTGGAGAATGACTCTCAACCTCCAAACGAAGAAGCAAATACCGCCAACGGCCAAGGCAGCCAACCAGAGGAAAAGGCTCCAGACTCCAACACAACAGATGACCCCGCAGTGGCTGAATTTCGCAAAACGAGCGTTTTTTCAGTGCGCAGTATAGGCCACTCGGTCGGATTGCAGGTGTCTTATCCCAAATCCTCGATTCGCTATTACAAGGTGGAAATCACCAAGCCCTGCAGCTGGGCGCAGAGCAGTTAGTACACCCATGATACCCACCAGACCCATTTAAAAAATAGGTCTGACCTTGACAGAACGCATTATGCGAGGATTAAAGCCGCACAGTATTTATGACTTGATGAGCGATGTGATCCGCTGTGGCATCATCACACAGGGGCAGCTGGTGGGCCATGTCTTGGGAGTTCTTCTCGCCGGGTCCCGCATGGACGATATGGCAAAGCGATATATTGAGGGTTTGACTTCCGGCAGTGACGCTGGGCGGCAGGCATTGTCGAATGAAAAGATCTAGATCGGATGGTTCGGAGTATAGCGAACCTTCTGCCGTGTCAGTGGGTCCGTGAAGATACACTACATCTGTATCTAAATCTCAGAATCGTCATGATCAACGTGTTTGCAAGAAATGTGGGGAAAATGTACACTCATTGGCAGCCTTTCTACAGTACATTACTGAAACCTTTTTAATCTGGGTGTTCGGGGAAAGATTTTGATGCTTATCATCTCCCAGCCACCTTTGATTTGCCCTATCCGATCGAGCCATGCCTATGATATCCATATAGATATGGAGTACAGTACGTACGTGCATATTGTATAAATCTTCCTTCTTTCCGACAACTTGGGTTTTATGGGTCTTAGTTTTCAGCTCCTTCACGACTGTTCTCAAACAGAATGGACCCTCCCTGCGGCGTACTCAAAGAAAAAAAAAGTGAACACCCATGGTGTTTCATTAACACCGAGTCGGGGCCAATCACGGGAGCTATTCCTCATCTGTATGCACGCTACCGTTGTCCATGTCGCCAAAGTCCCATGTTGCTTTTTTTTCTCCCCGGTCAAAGTGGCTGGCTGAATTTCGCGTTCTTTTTCAGCCAAATTTCAATTAGTTCGCCTACAATCTTCTCTGAATCCCGCCCCGCGGATCATCTCCTTTCACCAAGTGGGTCGCTGCACGTAGAAATCCCTCAGGCCGTCGGGCCTGCAGTACAGTACTAGTAGGGGTGCGCAGGAATTGTCAATTTTCCTCTGTTGTTGTAGAATTTTCTTTTCATATCTCCTTCGAAATTTCTCAAGGACAAACAAACACCATGGGCTGGTTTCCGCTCACGGTCGACACCGACAAGCCCACATGGAGTTTCGATATTGTTGGCTTGCTGGCCGTGGTCGGAGGCTCCTCAATCGAAAAGCATGCCCAAGCTATCACAGCATCGCCATTTGGCGGCTTCCCTCGTCTACTGCCTGCCCCTGAGACTATGCTCGACACCGACCGACCAGTTCGATTACCGGCCGTGAAAGATGTGACCGTCTTGGGTGTTCATTCAGGAACTCACTTCAACGAGCTCAACTTCTTCGCAGAAGTAATCCATGGCATTGATTCACTTCAACCTTACGAATTCCAACACTTTAAGATCAAACACAAACAAGGCGTGATCCAGCGTGATGCCGATCAGAAGCAAGCCGAACTGGATGCCGGGAAAAAAGACGAAGAAGAGCATGGCGAAAAGAATAAGAAGAAGGCCAATGCACCGATCATGGCCAGCATTCCATTGCACAAGTTTTGCCCATTGAACCTTGTGACCCTGGCCTCGATCTTGATCACAATTGCGTTGTTCGTCTGGGCTGGCGTCAACCACGATGCCGTTGCTTTGATCGGCCTGGCAACCATGTCCCTCTCGACCAGCACTGCGTGTCTATCCTCACAATGGAGGCCCAAACTCGCCGTTCGCACATCCAACGCTGCGGTTATCCCTCGGGGAGATATCATCATCCGGTCGCGGGCAGGCGCATTCGTGTTCGTCGAGTGTGATGAATTTGTCTCGCGCGAGATCTACGGCGGTACCGAGGTCTGCGACTATGTGTTCAAGGGAGTGGTGCATCAGATTCTTTTGGGCACCAGTACGATTCTTCTGATGGCCTCTATCATTTTCTTCAGTAACAGCGGCTGGAAGATGCAGATCGCTGTCGGGCTTGCGTATGTCATTCTTAACATTGCCTACTGGGCTATGGCATTGTTGACTGAGCCGGGTGATACTTGGAACATGGAGGATCGATATGATATCGACATCGTCGGCGAGCCCAAGATGACCGAAAACTTCACCCTCGCGATGTGGGAAGCGATCCAGGCAACCAAGGAAATTGAATGGCTCAGAAGAGCCAAAATTGCCCCAGGGACGAAGAACTGGGATTGCTGGTTGGAAGAAGCGAAAGAAAATTGTGATAATCCGGAGTGGAAGGCCGAGCTCGCGCGTAATAAATGGATGGCAAGAAAGGACCTTTAATGGAAGTGCTGGATGTAGCTTTATTGCATGATATCCCTTATATACTTAACGTTAGCAACATATAGAGACCTACTGTCTATGAAGTCCCAAAAGGGGTGATAATTTCAATGATTTCAATTGGGTTTTTCTATCAACGCGTTAATGACAGTGTCCGCAACACATGTGAAGTCCAACAATCTTTTGTCTGCTAGCTTGCATGGCTGAACTGGCAGTTTGCTTTGGCAATCCCAAGCGAGGTGAATCAATCAGCCCCAGCTGTTCATTGGCAATAATAATTGGGTGGAGGGGCGCCACACTGCAGCTAAGCCCTTCATTCAGACACGAACGATTGGAGGGTATTGCCGATCGTAGTCTCGCTTTCGACTGTGAAATGGTTCAAAAAGTAGTGTCCTGTAGTGGAGACATTTGCAGATTCCCTATAGCCAAGAAGATTTGCGGGCTCGCATCTTAGCATTTTGCGCAGGCAAATTGACCAGTTGACTCTTTTCGGTTCCAGCATCATTCGAGCACAGGCACACCACTTGACCATCTGACCGGACTTCAAAATCGCATTTCCAGTACATGAATCGTCCGAACAGTATACCAGCATTCACTGTAACAGGCAAAAAAATCAAATTCTTGTCTCACTCCCGTTGAGGCCAATTTGAGTCTTCTATCCGTCTGTTCGAAGATCATGTACAGAATCATGATACGCCGATGACCAGACGTAGCGATCCTCTTTCGATTTACCGTTCCCAAAGAAATGACTACTTCTGTTATTAGAAGTTCTCCCTAGTTGCGTGGTAACGATCCTAGTGGATTGATCTGGTGAAAAGCTACGTTGCGTGGGAAATATCAGTCGCTGCTAAGGATGGAGTTCATGACCACAATTTTCTAAATTACTTGGATAAGGAATGGATAATCTATGATAGAAGAAACCAATTTTTTTTTTTGAAATACAAAAGATGCTTATCAAAATTTACTAATGTTCAGGCATATCTCTCGACCAGACTCATTCCGAGGAGTATGTATCAGTTTCGATTTCCTGGGGGGCTCTGATCGCAAATTCCTATCATCACAAATAATTATGCTGGGATAGCAAAAGACGTAAAATTGGCTCGAAGTTAGATTATGTTGCACTTATCAAGTTCTGCTTCTTCATCGCTGTCTCTTGCCTGAGAAGCGTCATAGCGGAAGAGACGGCGACCATCATCAGATAGACTCCAGCATGGACTAACTTAAATCAACAGGATAGCATTAAGCCTTCTAAATACCAAAAGCAGTCTTAAACATCGTTCTTCAATCTTCGTTCTTGTCAATTCCACCATAATGGCCACCAACAACGTCGTTGTCCTGAGCCAGGATGCTCCAGCTCCAAGCCCTCTCATGTCACAAGGAATAATCAGCAATGGAATGGTGTACTGCTCTGGTAGTCTGGGCATCGATCCCAAAAGCGGTACATTCGTCTCTGGTGACGCCTCAGACAGAACTGTAAGCTTGTCATTCTTCCGGATGAGATCGAACAAGACGTACGTCCTTGAAGTCTGACAAAAACGTCGAATAGGTACGGGCTCTTCAAAATCTCGAGGGGGTCTTGAAAGCCGCCGGTAGTGATCTAAGCAAAGTTGTTAAGGTTACAATCTTTCTCTCGAGCATGGATCATTACGCAAATGTCAATAAGGGCTATGGGAAGGTTTTTATCCATGATATCAAGCCTGTAAGTTATTTTCAATTTTTATCATGGTGATGTGCTGCGACATCTCGTAATGCGGTCCTCTGGAGAATCTGCTAATCGGGTTGATAGTGCCGCACCTGCGTTTCTGTTGCAAAGCTTCCTCTGGATGCCGAGGTAGAGATCGAGCTTATTGCATCACTTTAGACATACTTAGATTGCGAGGACCTAGATTATCAAATTGAATGAAATACTGAAATACTCATGTCAAAAACCGAGAGAAGATAATAATCATTTCTGCTTGGAGTTGGGCCAAATCCGATGATACTGTTAAACTAAGTACACAAGAACAGCAGGCATGTGTTTCTCGCGGACAAAAGACAAGAAGGTCATCTAGAAAGACAGAAAAAGGCGAGAAATTCAATTCTTAATCTTGGTTCATACAATTCGTTTTCACGTTAACATCAGACAATCCCCGGTATGTTCTACGATCCTATACCAACTAGGCTGTATATCCCGACTTTTAGAGGGCCCACGTCTCCAAACTTCGTGTAAGACTTGAATCCCAGTTCTCACGCACTCCATCCCATATATCTCAGCACGCTCATACCACTGCCGGAAACGCTCTTGCTGTCGTGCCTCGAAAGCCTCTGTAGCACCCATGAAGGCAGGCCAGAAGAGTGGTGCAGCTAGGATCTTTGTCTCGGCCTTCAGCTGCTCAATTGCTTCGATGCTCTCGAGAATGTTCTGCACATATTGTCTCAAGTAGCGATGACTTAGATGCCTTATACTTTGGGAGAAGTATATAATGAGTGCATTGAGGAAGGCTCGAGTTTGGTGGTAAATGATGTTGGCGCTAATGCCGTTTTTTGCCTCCTTGCATCGTTGTAGACGCTCTTCAATGGGCCAATCCATGATCTCTTGCTCCAGCTCGTCGCATATTTGGTTCAAGTAATCCGGTATGAAGGAGCCTCCACCTTTTTCACGGTGGTGATTTACTTCGTCGATGACTTCGATGGATTGTTTGAGTAAGAGCAGGAGGTTCTCAGGGATACCGTATATACACTCATAAGCAGATATTTTGGAGACCGGCGTTTGGATTGGGGCGGTGCATTCCATAGGCATCATTGAGAGGGGGGTATCTTCCTCCTCGATAAACGCATTGGTGCTTGGGAGTATTGGCTGTGGCCCCACGGTCTTTGCTGATCCCAACCAGGGGGCGAAGCGAGATCCTGAGCTGTTATATCGCCTGATAGCCGTGCTCTCGTATATCACTCGCAAATAAAGATAAATCCGATGAAGGGATTGGGCTTTTCTGGAAAAAGAAGACTTTTGAGCGGCCATATGGGTGATGAGCTTTTCTGCTCCATCCAAATGCACACTGCAGGTTCTCGTATCCCCTGACATGACCTGCACGAACTAAATTAGCAAGTGGTTCCCAGTCAAGTCTGATATGAAAGTGATGAGATACATTAATCGTGATCATAGAGAGCATAGTTGCGAGGAATTCCTTGTATCTTGGCTTCTCATCGGCATAGAGATCGGTCTCAACGGCATATTTCAGAAGGCCGATCGCATCGCAACGATATCTTGAAGCAATGGTGCCCCAATTCTCTGCCTCTTCAACGCGTTGATTAGATCTAAGATCATTTGAGAAGTAGAATGCACTGATTGACAGCAAAGAGTTCCGCAATGCGTTGCGAATTCGCGTTGTGGTCCCTCCAAAGCTCAGCTCACCACCACACTGGAGAACTCGGGGCAGGTGAATGGTCTTCCACGGGCTCTTCACATTGTCGATTACGCAAAATATATTCACGACCCTATTCCGGTAGTGTCCCATCAAGAATCGCTCTTGTGAGGGAACTACCAGATCATCCAAGCCGTTGGGTATCGATGGAGCTGGCGGTGTGAACTGTCTGATTGGATTGTTTGCATATTTCAACCCGGCCAGTGTATATATTTCCTCGAAGCCGACAGGTGGTAGCTGTAGTGTATGATTTGAAAGGTTTGGTAGCTCTTTTGGAAGCTCCTGCAGGAGCGGGTCAACCGTAGTGTGAGCTTGGGGGAATTCCAGCGCGAGGTCATGGTTCGTAGAGTTGCATAGATTCCATGATATGTCTGCTTCGGAATAATCGTTTGTACCAGCAGAATCAAGTGATACCACTTCTGGGTCACCCACAAATTCATATTCACCTGTTCGCCTTGTTGGCTTGGCCGTAGGACTGGGAACTTGTTCGGAGTCCAATAAGCTGTTTTGTTGAAGACTGAAGACACCAAAGTTCTGGATGTTGGCACTAACATCCTCGCTACGGTTATTAACTACAGACTCCAAGGAATCAATGTAGCGAAGGATCCCGTCAACCTGATTCCATCCCAAGACTGATTGAATAGGTTCTAACTCCTTCGATATTAGTGGGGAATTCCATTGCGAATGCAATCACTTCTGTCGTAAACATTGAAGTACTTACCTAATGGCATGAGACGTCTTGTGTTTTGGCCATGCGAAAATGCCTGTACGTCATCCGCACGATGAACGTTCTTGCCGGTGACTGGTGTGAGCCATTGCAGGCGGGCAGTATAGCCCTCACAGCTCAGACCCTTTTCAAAACACTGGTGACAGCAGGGTTTGGACTCATCGCACTTGATCTTGCGCGTCCGACATGTCCAACACCCCGTAAATGTCTTCGTACGCTTCCTCGTTGGCCTTGGGTTTTGCGGAGGCATGAGATTCCGACCATTACCCACTTCCCACTGTGCACGTTGACCAAATATGATGCGCAAAGACAAGTAGCGAATCGCAGTTCAAAGTACTGTAATGTGATGAGGGAAAGAGCAGCAATCAGGGAGGGAAGTTCTCAGCGGAGGCGGTGGATCCCAGTTATCGTGAAGTGGCGCCGGAAGTATACAAGTGCGCGGAGACTTGCCTGTTTTACAACTGTAGGCAACTGACTCGTTGATGATGATGAAATCATCTTGAGCTGAGCCAAACATCGGTTTTAGGGTGTTATTGGAAGATTCAATTGATTATATCGCGCAAAGTATCTGCAAAGCATCTTCGAGAGTTTTCTCGGTCGCTTTAACTCGTTATAACTCCAAACCGTTATTATCGATACTGAGTGAGCCCAGCAACATTCGAGAAAAACCATCCGATACTCGAGAATCATCAATCACCCAGAATGTCTAATACTCAAACCGTTGAAGTTGTCCAGTCTGTTGTGCCCACTGTAGCCAACTCTGAACAAACACCTGGCACCCATGCCACCCTCGCAACAGGTGGATACGAGTTCCCAGGTATCCCAAAGATCGATGACCCTTACAAGAAGCGACAATGGCAGTTAGAGCATATGGCGGGCGCTTTCCGTGTGTTTGCCCGTAAAGGCTTTACAGAGGGAACGAGTGGCCATATCAGCGTGCGCGATCCAGTTGACCCAACGACATTTTGGATCAATCCGTACGTTACAGATCCTCATACTTAAGGCTGATATTAGCTCAATGACTGACCAAATTTTAGAATGGGAAAACACTTCGGAATGTTAAAGGCCAGTGATATGGTCCACATTGATGAGGATGGCCAGGTCATCGGCGGCAACAAGACGGCTGTGAATGCCGCCGGATTTATGATTCATAGCGCGATACATCGAGCACGACCGGATGTTCATGCTGCCTGTCACACCCATTCACCAGCGGGTAAGGCGTGGTCGACCTTTGGCAGACCGCTTGATATCATCAGCCAGGATACGTGCAACTTTTGGGGTACGCAGGCCGTTTACAAGGCGTTTGGCGGTGTTGTCCTAGGGGCAGAAGAAGGAGAGCGAATTGCACAGGCAATGGGTGACAAAGCGCGAGTTATTATGCTCCAGAACCATGGCCTTTTGACTGCTGGTGGAACCGTTGACGAGGCTGCTTATTTGTTCACTCTTGCCGAACGCTCGTGTGAAGTTCAAATCAAGGTGGAGAGCACCGGTCTCCCAAAGAATTTTGTTGGTGAAGAAGAAGCCGAGTTTACTGCACGAGTGAATGCTGACCCTGTAAGTGATCGATCTCTGGGATGGTCTTGATATTTATTGAGAAAGACTTGCTAACAGCGTGGCGCAGGAAACCCTCTATACTGAATTCCAGCCTGACTTCGAGTACGAGATCTGGAAGTCAAATGGAGAGTTGAGCAAGGGGAATTGAAAGATTTCTTTTTTTTCATATTGACCATCGATGGTTTGAAATCGGGGTTTATGCTGTTATGTTTCCTTTTTGTTGTATTTACTCGCTAAAGACGTAGCCATAGTATATTGAATGATTTTTGCTTTACAAGAAATACCAAATATTTCAAGTCCGGCAAAATAGTTAAAATGTAGGTCCCTTCATCTGGGATGACTTCTTGGATATTTTCAACATCTCGTTCAGCTAATTGTCTTCGTGTCAGTTTCGCTATTCTCTACATGAACTTTCCTTCGTCAAATATAGTGCTGTATATCAATCGGAGACCCTGCTATTATGTTCAATAAAATGCCTCGTCCTCTACATCCTTTTGATCTTCTCGTATGGGGTTCTGAGCCAGAGCCTAGCCCCAGTCGCAAAAGATAAGTAAATATTAGTCGCCCGAGCGCGTATCTCAAAATGCCACTACCCAATTCATAAGAAGACTGCTTACAATGTCTGAGCCCACCTCCAGGGTTGAAAATAGAGATTCAAAATGCCATCAAATCATGAATTTCGTAATGACAATCTAATCTGAAGCTAAAGACGAAATGCCAAGTGTTCCGAGAGAATAGGAAGGTTATAGCGCAGGCTCCACTTGGACATTCCATTCCCAACTTCGACAACTCCATAATACAACAACCGTTGATTCCCCTTCTGCGGACCTTGACTCATTCTCTACTACATCGATACTTGACCATACACAATGGCTAACCGCCAGAGAACCCTTGACCAGCAGGTCTACTGCATTAAGGACCTTGAACGTCTAGGCTCCGAGAAATTAGAAAAGACCTATCGCGGTAAGTTTAACATGATTCAAAACCCACACAGAGCATTTATACTGATATACGTGCCAGAGTACTACAATGAAGGCGCCATGGATCTGATCACGTATGCTTGCACGTCATGGCCATCACCGTTACGATATTTCTGATTCATCACAGATTGCGATTGAACCAATCGGCATACGACCGATACATGATCCGCCCTCGGGTGTTGCGAAACATTTCAGGACTTGATACTAGCACTCGCATCTTTGACACCAAGGTTAAATTTCCCTTTGGATTCTCGCCAACGGCCATGCAGACATTGGCGCATCCCGAGGGCGAGGTCGGCACCTCCAAAGCGTGTGCTGCTCACAACACTCTGATGGGACTATCAAACTATTCTTGCATCGAGTTAGAAAAGGTCATTGCGCATGGCTCTGGCAATCCCTATGTGATGCAGATGAGTCTGCTCAAGAATAAGGCTGCGATGATTCAGATGATCAAGCGCGCGGAAGGTGAGCCCACTTTCGCTTTTTCTCGGAGACGATACATCTAACAATGTTTTTAGCTGCTGGATTCAAGGCTCTCTTTGTTACTCTTGATGTTCCCTATCTCGGTCGCAGACTGAATGAGTTCCGCAACAATTTTGCAGTGCCCAAGGGCATGGAATACCCTAATCTTTTCCCTGGGGTTGATGTCACTAACCTCGAGGATGGTAATGATGTGATGGCCTATGGTAAGTATTGTTTTGGCGAGATGAAACAAATAAACTTCATTGACTAACGTTTCATAGATGACACTCTTGAATGGCCCGACATGATACCATTCTTCCGCAAGCACACCAAGATGCAAATCTGGGGCAAGGGAAGTGAGTTAACCCATGTAAACCAGTCAACTTCTGTCTCAAACGCTAACACTGTTTTCCTTTTCTCTTCTTATAGTCTACACAGCCGCCGATGCCGAACTTGCAATCAAGCACGGCTTTGATGGAATCATCATCTCAAACCACGGTGGCCGCCAGCTGGACAGCGTGCCTTCTTCCCTTGATGTTCTTCGCGAGGTTGTTCCTGTCGCAAAGGGCAAGATTCCTATTGCCGTTGATGGAGGTATCCGTCGCGGAACTGATATCTTCAAAGCTTTGGCTCTCGGGGCCGATTTCTGTCTTGCCGGACGACCGGCTATTTGGGGCTTGGCTGTGAGTTCATATCCTCTCAAATGGTGATGACCGAGTTTTCTTTATTGACATTTAATCTGGAAGTACGATGGCCAAAAGGGAGTTGAGCTGGCTCTCAACTTACTTTATGATGAATTCAAAACGTGCATGGCGCTGGCTGGGTAAGTGTGAACTTTTCTCTTAAAGCCTTCGCTTTTTCTGTACTTACATTATTGATGCAGTTGCCGAAACATCTCAGAGATCAAGAGAGAATCTATCTCTCTTTTGCAGTCTGATGGTCGCTTGTTGAAATTGTAAAATAGTGCTTGTTTCTTAGCGTCGCTAGCTGTATAGATCGTTAGTTGGAACATATGCATTTAATTGGAACACATGATTTACCCCAAAAGAGTGCCCTACTCAGCTCATTGTTTTTCAATTGTGTTTACTAGTACTTAGTGTGATTTGACGCAACTTAATTGACCAAGGCAGACAATGTTTTACACGAAGGCAGGAAAGTCTTAGGTGTCGTCAAGCAAGCTTTTTGGAGAACTACTCTTAGAATATAGACAAATATCACCTATACGCTCTCAATGCCTATATGCTGCTTTTTTATTTATATATAGGACGCAATTGTTCACCACGAATCCCAATTTATCAAACTCTACGGATAACATAATGATGAACCCTCTTACCCGACATGGAATATATTTCAATTGTCTATTGCAGCTTCGAAGCCTAAAATTCTATTTGTAAGGGTTATCAGGCCTAAACTTAGGCTCCCACAGCCCTTTGCTCTCTTTGACCTGAAGCTGCAACCCCTTAAGAAGCCCATAGATAGTCCTCAAAGTAGGCATAGCAACACCCCGAGCCTCGCCCTCTCGCAAAGGCTCACCAACGATATTCTCCATCTCAAACAGATTGCCCTTCTCAATATCCTGACACATTGAAGGTTTAAACTCAAACTGCATATCATCATTGAGCAGAATCTTGCCAGGAAGATCATCCGTCAGCTCGGTCACGCCACACGCACGCGCAGCAGCAAGCACCTCGAACATAATTGGAAGAATCAGGTCATCGACAATATGTTGGCTCATACGCATGCGCCGAGTATCCATGCGCAAGATTGTGGCGATGGGATTGAAGGAGCCATTGTAGAGAAGCTTACGCCAGCGAGCGCGCTTGACATCCGGGTCGTAGACGAGGTCTAGCTTTCCGTCTGGGTTGTAGATGCTGATGTAGTTTTTCGCTGCTTCTTCGGCGATGTTCTGGGGAACCAGTTGGTTCTGGAAGGCGCCGATCTTTTGCGAGTCATCGTCGTCGTGGAAGATGTCCGCGGGTGCGCGCTCTGTTGCGCCGACGGTGGATACGCTGCTGATTATGGGGTTGCCGGGGAAGCGCGGGATGATGGGCTTTTCGATGTTGAGGCCATTTTGTGAGAGCACAATTACTGTCTTGCCTGGTGTCACGGCTGGCTCGATTATGTCTGCTACTGTTGGCGACACGTCTGGGACGTTCTTGGTTGTGACCAGGATGAAGTCAAAGGGTTGGATGCCTTCCTTTTCCACGTTGGGGACAGTCTTGACGACTAAAGATTTGATTAGTATATTTTTGGTCTTCGGTATGTAATCTGAAGGCACAATAGTAGGAACTTACTGTTTGTTGGTCGGAACCCTTTGATGTCATGTCCATACTGGATGGAATCAATACTGATTCCGTTCTTCACTGCAGCGTCGTAGTTCGATCGCATCACTGCGGTGACATCGGCCTTTCCACCTTGCATCAACGCATAGGCTGACATGGTGCCGACACCTCCAGTGCCAACGATCAAAACGCGAGCCTTTTGTGCCATCGTTGCGATGTAGTAAATGCCGTTGTGAGAATAAAGCTTGGGCGAGAGTTGACATGGAGTATCTCCTTTAACTTAAGGACAGGCAGGGTGACCAAGCTATCTGCAAGGTTCCCCTCGTAGTTACGGCATCGAATTCCTGAAATTGCGAAGTGTAGATAGCGGAGGGAAAGGCGAACCGCCGAGAATATGGAGCATTTCGAGAAAGGAAAGCCACAGCGGAGCCAATGAGATGCCCCGTAGGTCAGTCAAACATGGAGGGGCAATTATCGTCAATTTCTTACGCTCTTTTCAGGCTTGATGATCACTTGGAATGACATGTAAGTTAGTAATTACAAAATAAAGAAAGAATCATATATCATGTCACTCTGATATGAAGTTCCAGACTAGAATATATTCGCCAGGTTTCGGCATTTGGAAATTTGGCAACTGGCATTTCTGTCGGATGAACATTTCAATGCTTGTATTAAACAATTTGGTAGCAAAATATGTAGAGCTAGATGAATTTTACAGACGTGCAGTAATACCAGCTTGCAAGCCCTTGACAACCTCAGCGGCAGCCCTCTCACCACTCCGAATAGCACCCTCCATGTAACCCTTCCACTCACCCGCAGTCTCCGTGCCAGCAAAGTGCAAGTTTCCACAGCTTTCACGCAGAGCATCACCACCAAGGTTAGCGATCACGCCGGGAGTCAGTGCTGTGCAGGGACAGCCCAAGCCAGCCCACTCATCATGTACCCACTCGTAGGTTGTCATTTGCACAAACTCCCGCTGCAGATCACTTGTTGCGAAAAGCTTCTCCAGTTGCACTAGAAGGCTGCGCTCGCGCTCAGGGGTGGAGAGTGCCGCCCATTCCCGTCCGGGGTCGCCAGACATGAAGCAGGTCAGGACATACTTCCGATCCTCGGGGCTACAGCTCTCGCGGACCACGCTAGCAGGGCCAATGAATGACTGCGCAAGACCGCAGAAGCCCTTCTTTTCCCAGAACGGAGAGCGGAACTCCATCATGGCCTTGGTATAGTATCCATATGTGGTTGACTCGGCCCAAACCTGCTTCGCTGGTGGCAATTTGGGGTGGAAGGCAATATTCTTCAAAGCAGGGCTAGGAACAGTGGTGATGACCTTGCGGGCGGCATATACTGTACCGCCTGCCTGCACCTTGATTGACTGGTTGCCGCTCTGCACTACTGAATGCACAGGGGCGGACAGCTTCACTATGTCCTGGGGGAGTGAAGAAGCCAACCCGAGGGAAAAGGCCTGGGTACCTTGGCGAATACGGAGGTATTGACCTCCATGCTTGCGGTCAGATCTCATCTGCAACAGACCTCCTCCCGATTTGCAGTAGTTCAAGAAGTAAAGAGCGGAGATGTCGCGGGGGTCCTGGCCCAGCATTGCCCGAGTCCAGACCATGGCGGTTGCAAGCGCTACTTCGCTGGCACCCCGAGATCGCAAGTAGGCCTCAAAGGTGAGGGAATCGAGAGACTTGTCATCCGGTCTCCATGTATCAAGGGCCTGACAATCAGCTTCACACATGTCACGAATTTGCGCCAGATGTTGCCGTGTGGTCTCATCGAACTGTCACTCATGGTCAGATACTAGATCATCAACAAACTGAGCTCTGGGATGTACTTACGTTTGGAAGTTCTCCATAGACAAATGGTGTACATTTGCCATCAAAATCTTCCAAAACAGCGTTTCCCTGTGTATTCTGCTCGATGACCTCTACCCCGTACCGCTTTGCAAGGGCGTACACTTTGCTCTGATTTGTATCGTTGATCCAGGCAGCTCCAAGGTCAATAGTTCCGCCGCCATTGAGCGGTGCACTCCACGTCTTGCCACCAACACGGTCGCGCGCCTCGAGAATAACGCAGGACAGGCCGCTGCGCAGAATATCATGGGCGGCGGTCAGACCGGCCAGACCGGCACCAATGATGACAACGTCCACGGCCTGGTTCACATTGGACAGTACGGGAGGGAGGGAGGGTTCTGGGAGCGCAATCACAGCATCGATTTCAAAGAGCCACGAAGGTACCGCAAGCTGTGGCACTGGAATCAGGGTAATTGCCGGTCTATGACCTCCTAAAAAGCGCTGAATATGGCGTGTATGCTTTCGGTTCGCGGCATCATAGTCCACAATGTAAAGATTCAGCTTGACAATGTTCTCGATAGAGGATCCTGCGGCAACGATGATCTTTCGCAGGTTGAGCAGAGCCAAATGAATCTGAGACTCATAGTCGCTCGGAATAGATCCATCCTTCAGACTTCCTGGTTGGCCGGCGACATGAATAAGCTTGCCTGCTGGTGCGACAGTCGCCGGGGCATAGTAGGCGCTCGCGGTGTTTGACAAATCGACTGTGGTGACAGTCTTGGACATCTTGTAGGATACGGTGCTGTACAGAGAATGCTCAAAGCGCGATTGATGATGGCTCTTTGGGATTGAAGAAGGGAAGTTGGAAAGATATTCGGACTGAGTCAAGTCCTTTGTATCTCGAGCGGCCCCGCCTTCCTTTCTCTATTGTACATACTATGCACAGTCGCCAAGGCCTGCCATAGCAGCAACCAAGGCTATTGGATCATGCAATGCTGTTATCGCGTTCTGTACAAAATAAGAGCTTCCATCGTGGGGTGGAGAAGTGAGGGGATGTTGCGCTGTGAATTACTTTGTTCGCTGAGAGTTGCCCTAAATCTCGGGATGATCACCGAGGTCAAAGTCCAAAGATGAAATATGGAAATGCCTTCCATACGTTATAACTGTCCTAGATTCATACGATTTCTGTCTTATCTACGATTCGATTGACATTGAGCTCATCGCCGATAATGACCACCGCATCTCGCTTGAGGCAGCCTTCCTTGTTCATTGATAAGAACTATATCAATGGACAATGGGTAGATGCTGCATCTGGGAGACAATTCAAGGTGACGGGTACGTATTCGAATTCCCCTTGGCCTCAATGATCAAACAGAGCTTCGAGAACTAAGCACAGAATCGCCTTTAGATCCAGCAAATGGAAATGTCATCGCTTCATGCCCAGAGTCCGCCACGATAGATGCAGAGGAAGCAATTCGGGCTGCGAATGCAGCACTTCCTGCGTGGAGATCACGCGCAGGTCGTAATCGAAGTCGTATTCTTCGTCGGTGGTATGAGCTAGTCATGGAGAACAAGGACGATCTAGCGACCCTGATTACCTTGGAAAACGGCAAAGCTAAAGCCGATGCTGAAGGCGAGGTTCTCTTTGCCGCAAGCTTTCTTGAATGGTTTGCTGAAGAAGCTTCCCGAATTTATGGTGATGTGATTCCGCACAGCCAGCCTGGGTTCCGCGTTTCGGTGCTGAAAGAGCCTATTGGAGTCTGTGGTCTTATTACGCCGTACGTATTGATCCGTAAAAATGCTGTGACTAGGATATTCGTCTCTTGCTAACATTGATGTTACACGATGCAGATGGAACTTCCCTGCTGCTATGATTACTAGAAAGCTCGGTCCTGCCCTGGCGGCTGGATGCACAGTCGTTGTGAAGACTGCCGGTGAAACCCCGTTGACTGCAAATGCCTTGATTCACCTCGGTGAGATGGCAGGTGTGCCTGTCGGCGTTATCAATAGCGTGAGTGCATTGGAAAACACGCCCGAGATCGGACAAGCCCTATGCTCGTCCAACATTGTTCGCAAGATATCCTTCACCGGCTCTACCAGAGTCGGCAAACTCCTTATGCAACAGTCTAGTGGCACCTTAAAGAAGCTAGGCTTAGAGTTGGGCGGGAACGCCCCGTTCATTGTCTTTGAAGATGCCGACCTTGAGGTGGCCGTGAATGCGGCAGTAGCCAGCAAGTTCAAGTCTTCAGGCCAGACCTGTGTCTGTTCCAACCGGATCTTTGTCCAGAAAAGCGTTTATCCGGAGTTCATCCGCCGACTGAAGGATGTTGTCGGACGATTCCGGCTGGGGGATGGGTTTGATGAGAAGACAACACATGGTCCTCTGGTGACCCCTGCAGCTGCAGACAGAGTCGCCAGTCTTGTTGAGGATGCTGTTCAGCAAGGTGGTCAGATTGCAATTGGAGGTCGTCGAAGACCTGATCTAGGTATTTTCGTTTCCTATGCCACGCCTATTGGCGTTGAAGCTCATGAGCTAACGGGACATTCATTCATAGGCTCAAACTTCTTCGAACCAACTATCATCACAAATGTGAACACTAAAATGCGGGTTATTCAGGAGGAGATCTTTGGGCCAGTGGCACCCATCTTCTCTTTTGATACTGAAGACGAAGTTATCTCGGACTCCAATAAGTGTGAGGTTGGATTAGCATCCTATATCTTTACTCGTGATGTTACTCGGGCGAACCGCGTATCAGAGCTGTTGCAGTTTGGAATGGTAGCCATCAACACAGGCGCTGTATCAGACGCTGCCAGTCCGTAAGTTCCACTTGCCTTCCTCTTTTGTGATCAGTTACTAATTTTCCTGCTTTCATGTGTAGTTTCGGAGGTATTAAGCACTCTGGTATGGGACGTGAAGGAAGTAAATATGGAATCGATGACTACTTGCAGACAAAGACAGTTGTTACTGGCAATGTACATGTTGTCCACAAGTCTTCATTATAGACTTGTGCACCATACAGACTCAATATAAATTTCTTCATTTGGTCTCATTCTTCTTCCCTAATGTGATGTAATGATCACAATTTAAATGCAGTTGAATATTGTGTCTTGTATCTGCTACTCCAATAATAGACCAAATGGCTTTCATCTGTTTCAAGATCAAGAAGAATGAGTCGAATTTTCTTGTGATGGGTCTTCTATTACCTAGAGAGCTCCAGTAGACATAAGGTTTTATATGTAGAGTACTAAACTATGAATAAGGTTTAGTTATTGTCCCAGGGCGAGCGTTCTTTTTACAAGGAAGAATTTGTGGTATATTCACGACTTTGCCGCACACCTGCGCTTGTGTGGATTTCAAATCGCAGCTATCACACATTTGTGCACAGAACAATGCTCCCCACATTCCATTACTCCGCTGTATAGAGAATTCCGGGGTCTCCAGATCCTTGGACATATATCTTCCATTGGCCACGCGGTGACCTTCCCGTTGGGTTACTCTTGTTACTCTTCTAGCCCGAACTATAAACGATAAGCCTCAACACATCCCAAGATCCACAATGGTGACCATGTCAGATCTTCACCCAGCCCCACTAAGATAGGATGTTTTGCCATTCCAAATAATAATACGTACCCCATAATTGGATTGCCGATAAGCATCTCGGCTATAACCCGTATTCCAGTCATGACTGGAAGCTTATGGGGCAGGCTATAGCGACAAACTAATGCTACCACTATGTTTCTTCCCCGGCTTTTTGGAATATCGCCGATAGTGAAGTCATATTTTGACAAGGGCGTACATTCTTATCTTGCACGCTTTCATTCCTAATGCCGATTGCTATCAAAGACTCAGACTTGACCTCGTGTCATCCGGGTGGGGGCGATCATAGTTATAGAAAGCTAGAACGACCTGGTGCTGTTCTACTTTGCTAGACGCTCAATTTTATTTCAATCCATTACCATGTCTGAAAAACAAAACAAATTCCCTGACGATATCGAGGCACCAGACCCTATAACTCATACTTCGTCGCAGATTGGAGAAGTTATTAAAGGACAAGATACGACTCACGATGCCGTTTTTGGGGAGGTCACTGAAGGGGGACCTAATTATCGCAATGTATGTCTTGCTCTTCCACGACGTTTTATGTCGTTCATCTCATGTATTCTAGGTGGGATGGCTGGGAACCGTTGCCCTGATGATGAAGACCCAAATTGGTCTGGGTGTCCTTTCTATACCCTCCGTCTTCAACACTTTGGGAATGATTCCCGGTGCGATCTTGCTCTGTATTGTGGCAGGAATTGCTACTTGGACAAGCTACATAGTCGGCGTTTTCAAGATGAAACATCGGGAAGTCTACGGCCTTGACGATGCAGGTGGCCTAATGTTTGGTCGAGTTGGGCGAGAAATCCTGGGTATTGGATTCAGTCTTTGTGAGTGATACTACATATCCGATCAATCCCCAAAGTACTAACATCCTAAAGATTGGATCTTCGTTGCGGGTTCCGGTATTCTCGGGATCTCAATCAGCCTGAACGCAATTTCAGCCCACGGAACATGCACTGCTGCATTCGTTGCCATTGCGGCTGTCATTGGATTTTTATTAGCTAGTGTACGCACGCTAGGCAAGATTAGTTGGATAGCATGGCTTGGATTAGTTTGCATTCTTGCCGCGAGTCAGTCTCTTCAGTCATTCTTGCCCAATACTTCCCACTCATTCTGATACCTCATAGTCCTGGTCGTGACAGTCAGTGTTGGCATCCAAGACCGACCAGCCTCAGCACCCCAAGACGGCCCATGGTCGTCTGATTTCAAATTGAGCAACAGCCCATCCTTTGCGGAGGGTGTTGCTGCAGTCTCATCTCTTATTTTTGCATGCTCTGCCACCCCAGCCTATTTTGCCATCGCCGCCGAGATGCGCGACCCCCGTCTATTCACGCGGTCCCTTATTGTCAGTCAAATTGGCTCTACCGTGATATACTTGGTTATTGGTATCGTGGTATACTACTACTGCGGAACATATGTTGCCTCACCAGCTTTGGGCTCTGCTGGGCCACTGATCAAGAGGATCTCATATGGTATTGCCCTTCCTGGTCTCATTGCTTCCACGACTATTGTGATTCATGTAAGTTCTTGGTACACCCTATGGCTTTCGCATTAGATACTAACATACGCTCCTACAGCTACCGAGCAAATATGTATTCGTCCGCATCTTGCGAGGATCCGACCATCTAGCCTCTAACTCCTTTATTCACTGGATTACATGGCTCTCCTGCACTTTTGCCTCAACAATAATAGCCTACCTCATTGCAAGCGGTATTCCATTTTTCAATAGTCTCGTTTCACTTATCGGCGCTCTTCTAGGTGCTTTTCTGGCATATCAGCCTACTGGCTGTATGTGGTTTTATGATAACTGGCGACCTCGGGGTGACCGTACATGGAAGTGGACTTTCATGGCATGTTGGAGTGGCTTCATTATCATCATTGGAACATTTATGACCGTGGCAGGTACTTACGGTTCCATTGTGAGTATTATTGACTCCCTCAGGGAGGATGGGGGATCTAAGCCGTGGACTTGTGCTGATAATTCTAATTCCTGATGGTTAATATCATGTTCATTTGAAAACTATCCTGCACTAGGTGGTTACAGGTATTTCAAACCAGAGAAATAGCAATATGCTTGGAAAAATCAATTAAGAAATCGTAATATTTTACAGATATTGAAGTATGTTTATGCTTATTATAATACATTGGTTCCATGCAGACGAATGACTACAGGATATGATATACAGAGCCTTCACTCCAGAAGTTCCATCACCAGCTTGGGAATGCGCGAGACACCCTCGCCTCGTCTGGCACTGACAGGAACAGCACAAAGCTTTTCTTTCCACGCCTTCTCATGACCAGATGGGTGCTCAACCGATCCATCTTGTACGGCTGACAGATATTCTTGAAGAGCTCGGTATTGATCCTGGGTATTTTCCAAGTCCGCCTTGGTGGCCACGACAAACCAAGGCTTGAGGTGAAGAGGTGTCATCATCAAGCGAGGCAGAGTGCCATCAGGATTGGTGTTTAACGGCTGACTTCCGGGCTCCCGGAAAGGATTCTTTTGAGGCTCCGGACCGTCATTGCCGAAGGGGTTCCAGTCAATGACGCTGTTGTCTCCAGCGGAATCCGGATCCATATCGCGCACTCGTTCGTACTCTCCAAGCTCGTGCCACAGTTTTTTCAGTTCTTCCACAGGGTCGCCATGGCTAAGATCAACCACAAAAGCCAGAATTCCAGCGCGGTCAATATGACGAAGGAATCCCAGACCAAGTCCTCTGTCAAGATGGGCATCCTCAACCAAGCCGGGAATGTCCGCAATAGTGAAGTGTGTTCGACGCTCCTTTGATGCGACAAGTGGACGGCCCTTCATATCGTCGGTGATCACGGTTCCAATGTGAGGAGAAAGTGTAGTAAACTCCCAATTTCCAATGCGCGTCCGACTGTTGGTCAGTGAGCGGAGTAGTGTACTCTTGCCGGCGTTGGGCTTTCCAACTAGTCCAACATCTGCAAGCAACTTGAGTTCGAAGTCGAGTTCTAATGTCATTCCACCTTCACCACGAGAAGCAAACTTGGGTCGTCCCATCGTGCGCGTCGAGAAGTGTGGGTTACCATATCCGCCAGCACCCCCTGCGGCTAGAAGCAAAGGCTTATCCATGGGCTTCGAGAGGTCTAGCCAGATCGGCGCCTTTGGTTCCATCGCCGCTATATTCTGTCTCCGCGGGTATGATTTTGGAAACTCCACCATGAGAAAGTCAGAGGGTTTGGCGGAAGGATGAAGCACCCAGCGGTCATGCCGAATAGAGTTGAATTCCGGGTCCTCCGTCTCTCGCAGACCATATTCTGGACCTTCTGGATCTTCAAGCTCATCGGGATTTCCAAACATTTTCTGCTCCTCCTGGGCGATATGTTCCGCCTCTTCTTCCTCTCTGATGCGTGCCCACGCGTCCTCAACTGGATCGTGTCGGCTGATTTCCCGAACCACCGTTCCAACGGGTACTTGAATGAGAATGTCGTCGCCTCGCTTTCCACCTTTGCTTTTGCCTTGTCCGTTCCGACCTCTGCTGGCTCTGAGGACACCTCGACGAGCCAGTTTGTGCAAACTGGTTAAACCCTCGACAGTCTGTATATAGATACCACCTCCACTACCGCCGTCGCCTCCATTAGGCGGTCCTTCTTCAATATATTTCTCACGGAGGTATGCGACACAGCCATGACCACCAGAGCCGGCATGCATCGTCACTCGACATTTGTCCTGGAAAATGAAACGCGAGTAATCCTCCGGAGGGGGGTTCAGATGCGACAGGTCTGATGATGGTTCGTCGGGCACAACATCAATGGTAGGCGATGATTCGGCAGTGTCCGTATTGGTGCTTTGCAAGCGATATTGTGCAGTAAATGCATTTTTGGGAGATTGTAGGAATATGCGACTGCAACGTGCTTGGCGTGAAAGGAAGGGTCGCACCGGCAGGGAAAAATAGGCTCGTGAGTGCGCCATGTTGTGAGACTGGCTATCTCGCGCTCATTCTGCGGAGAAACTCTGCCGGGTTGTAATAGATTTGTCGCAATCTAATGCCGGTCAAGCAAGGAAAAGCAATTTGCAGATAATTGAGGTCGGAGTGAGTTCCAACCTTGGAAATTAGTTCAGTTGGCTGGAAGTTATGACTTCAGCGATAAGGTCACATGGCGATAAGCCCGTTATACTGTGACATGTGGTGCATAATAGACACCCGTCGGATTTACACTTGTGAAGTTGCGGTCAATCTACATTTCCGGTTTTGAATTTTCTATATATGACCGCATGTCCCTTTCTGCAAATACAAACAAGAATCATATGATCTTCGTTTGGTAGAAACCGGTTTCATACTGCCGACGTTTGCTAAAGAAACGGCCAATGCATACGGTCACTGCACCTGCCCGGCTCTCGTCACCGTCTCCATGACTCACTTTCGGAATTTTGAGTACAGTATGCACTGTACAAGCTCCGTTGGGCATCAGCATATGATAAATGTACAGTACAGTAGGGCTACCACAGCTACCCTTGTCCCGTCTGCACATCACCGTTGTGACTCCCGGGCTACCCTGTCAAAGAAGGACCAATAAACTAACTCGGACTCTTTTTCGAGGGAGTTGGCTGGTTTTGATCTGGACTAGATATACATTAGCTATAAGCGCGCTATGGGTCGTCCACGCGTAGCAATAAAAAAGACGGTGTGCTTCCGTTTGCCTGTTTAGACTTTGATGTACAGTAGATGTTTGCTCAAACGGCTACATTATTCAGATATGGTGCTCGAATGACAATGCTTGGTAACAATTTATCCGGTATTTTTCTTTTGATTCATTGTGTATGCTATCAGATGGAGAGGTCGGCTGCAACCTTGGAATTCTCAGTACCACATGAAGTTCTCAAAGATGACACTTTCAAGGCATTTAACGCTATCGTAAACTAAAAGATTAGATGCGTTCACAATCTTATCTCCTCCGGGTTTATTGCCTTTCGTTGTCTATCTTATTTCCTCAGTCTTGACTATGCCATTTTCATCAAACTATCGATAACAGCAGCTCTTGTTCCCTCAATGGGACTAAAAACTCACACTGTAAATAAAAGCCATTTTAGCAGTTATGAAAGCACTGCGGGCCTAATTACATAACTTCATAACCAAACTGCAAACACATGTATACACAAATATATATTTTTACGTTGCTCCTGTCTCAACACCAAGAAAATTTGGAAGCCGGCTTGCGGGTTTTCTAGATAATACACTTGATTTCATTTGCACTAAAGTTATCCCGTCAGATAACGAGGAGTGAAAATGGTACTTATGTGTGTCGAGAACCTTAGTTGGGACATGTTTGCGATTTCTTAAGTCAAGTTAATCTTCAAATTCCACCCTATCTCCACAATCAAAGTGCAAGTACAGTCCAAACTGATATTATTCTTTCAATCTAATTGGATATAACAGAAATATTTACAACTTGACTGGATTCACCAATATATTTAAGGACTGGATTGAAGAATCTAACACACGGCAACTCGCTTATTAGCGTGCAGCAATGGAACTACCTACCCTAACAGTTGTAAGTGCATATGAATAAAGACGAGCAACCTACCAAGTAGATGTCACTTTTGAACTGTAACTTGACACAGTCGAGTATCTACCCATGTCTATCTATTACTTCCTTCCAAGTAGAGTGAGGTGACCCATATTCTAGGATGCCACGGTATCTTGAGCGAAGCCTACCATATCTCAATTCGAGCAAGAGGTAACTAGCAAAAGGATAATGATCACCCGCGTAGGACGAGCTGATACATAGAACAGGGAGGCCACAGACATAGAGCCTGTCACCAGAGTCGTAGTCGACGAGTACTTCAAGTGGCATCGAGTACGACACGAACAGGACACGTAGCTAGCTACAACCAGGCTTTGTAATGCATGATGACCCTGGACCGGGGGTCATACAGGGATAGGATTTGGAATAGATATGAACAGGGAAGCTAAACCTGTACAACATGATAGGAACGGGATTGTTGAACGAACCTTGTTTTTCCATCTCAGTGATTGACGTGTAGAAGCTCGTATCGGGGATGTATCATACAAGGCTCTGTTGACTGTGTTGATTGGCTTGCTGCCCCTGCTTTTTATGTCAGGCTCATCACAGGCAGGAATCTGTGATCCGCTGTCACATTTAGTGCACACATGTCAGGAGGTCGATCATTTTTTTAGCTTCCCTGCTTGCAAAAGTACTGTGCTATGCCAGGGGAGGTCTCGTTGCTGTACTTTTGTTGGCTGGTTCGACTGGAGGTGTTCATGCATGTTCAACATCTAGGTTGTATCTGGCGAGAATCGGTGGCGGTACTTTTTAGACGTTCGTCTTCGATCGATAGCTGAAACATTGCGCTGGATGGACAAGACTGCATAATGGATATTGTCTGCCTTTTCAGCCTGGTGCTTAAGTGGTTACTGGGTGGCGTTCTGACATGCTTCTTGAGGTGGCTACGCTATACGATGGTCTTTCTAGATGAGGTGGCTGAGGTGTACTGTACAGTAGAGCTGAGCTGCTGTGCACAACTGAAGCAGCCTAGCTTAGAATTTACTTTTATCAATACTTCCCATCTACATAATGCCATTGAAGACCACTTTGGTTTACTGTCACTCCCTCAAGTCCAGACATAGATTCCACTCGCAGGGAGGGTGGTCATCAAGTGAACCCAATCGAGCGGGTGTAGGCCAAGTAAAGACTAAGCAAAGTATAAGTTGACAAGTCAAAGGCTCCTAAGCTTCAATTGACATTGCTAAGCTGAAGTCAATTCCCCATCTGGAGGCACAGACATCTAGCCCATAGCAAGGAAGTATGCGATTCGACCAAACCCAGACTGCACACGTGACCACCAGATCGAGACCATTGTCTAGACCCCTGCAGGGGAAGTTCCCGTTAATCACATTGAGCATGCCGGAAGAGCCCAGAATCAATGAATCAGCAAGGCAAAAAAGGGAAAAAAAAAGTACCTGTGCAATCGTACAGGTCTATGAGACCCAAAGTCGGAAGTCGGCTAGGGCACAGGAACAAAGAACAGCCCCGAGAGACAGGGGGGCTCACATGACCAAAAGCGGAATCGATAGTGTGAAAATCCTTGCAAAGACAAGATCTGATTCGTGTCCACTTCGCGGAACTTTTGTTTTGCACCCGTCACCGCGGCACCGGATAACTTTCCGTTTGCCACTGGGGACTGGGGCGATCGTTCCTGTTGGCTGTAACTGCTGTACAGTAATTCCTACGGTGTTTTTTTTTTTTGGGTAGCCGAACTAGGTAATTCCCTACTGTAGTGGTAATCCTTAACTTAGTACCATGGAACTGGGCTGCTGTTTCCGCGGGTCCCCTGGCGGGGGAGCCAAAGAGGGAGGCGATTCCGTCTTCTGATTGGCCCGCGGAGATTCTGCACAGCTGCCGGACCGACTCCCAGGATTCGTGTTTATCTGGTACACACTAGAGAGAAAACAAGATATGCAAGAAAAAGGATCTTGTCATAGCAAAAGTACCTGTCAAATCTAGGTATGCATGGACTTGAATCTCCCCGGGACCCAATACAATACTTACAGTAGGAGGCAAGCTCGGCAATCTACTCGATAGCAATGCAGATAGTCCGAACTCTACAATAGACATACAGGCAGACGGCCAGTCTCAGCCTTGGACCCATCAGGGGCCGAGCTGGTGCGTGGTGTACAGTATACAATATGTCATCCATGTAGCTACCGGGTCCCACCTTCAAATGCCCTCCGGATGAAAGGTGGCAAAAGGCCAGGGTGGATATACCATCGTTCCCAATCCAGAACCAACACAGACCAAGGTACATGTATCTTGTAAACTGTCGCACCAATTTAGCGCAAGGTTCCAGATCGGAATAGGAGGGGAAAGTGGACTGCAGTGACGCTCGACAGTGCGATAAACTTCCAACCTTCTTTGATTTCGATCGATCGGGGAGGCCTAGGGGAAGTTACGCCAGTCAAAAAAAGTACACATCGCAAAACGGACGAGACGATGGTGGCTTCCTATTGGCATAGCGGGAAAGGACCCGAACCTTTCAGCTGGAAAATGGCTGAAGAGGGAATTGGGAACCTGCATGTCCATCCAAATCGAGATCGTGATCCATTGCGCCTGAAAACAAAGGAATCTGGATGATCTGCAATCTGCATGCTTCTACTGTATCACAGCTCCTTTGTGCTTCGTACATGGGGTCAGCTGGCGAGGGGCGGTTTGTATTTTTTTCAAACCCTTGTTCTCCTCCCCCACTTGATGCCTGTTCACTCTTGTCTCCTGGCGCGCGGTCTCTTTCAATCCCGCGCTCTAGATTGTCAGCTCCCCGAAATATGATATATCACGACAGAGATTTCGTCCCGTCAATCACGGCGGTCCACAGACCCAAATGGTCTAGTCTGCGCGCTCAGCCCCTTTGGCAACTTAGCCCGATACCTTCTAGTCTGGAATTGGGGATAGGCCTAAAAGGGACAGATCCTATAAGCCAGGAATCATTATCCGGCCTTGTTTTCTTTCGACTTCCGGCTTGAGGAAGAAGCCGCAACGCCACACTTCCAACCATTGGGGATTCATGCGGCGTGTGAACCCGACAGTGTGGTGTGGCAGCTGTCCTGCGTCGATCATGGAGCCTGCTGTAGGGTACAAGATCCGCTAGCGTGATTCCAAATGGGAGAGTGGTGATCGAGTGCTCTAGACAAACGCCAGACACGGCCTCAGCCGTGTATCATCGTGTATCGGCCTACCAAGTATCGCTATGAGTGATCTGTAGAGTGGCTGAACCCGATCTTTGTTGTGGCGGTCATCGTGGGGAAAATGTGCGATCTGGGCGGGGGATCTGGATTTGCATCCACGATACATGCGAATAAGGTGGTATCCAAGGAAGCCGAGCCGTCCCTTGCTATACAGTACTGCTCTCGATTAGGAAGTGTTGAGGTGTATGATCTGGGGGGTGATGCAATATTA